ACAATATGATGTATTTAACATAAATATTAGTTTTTTTCGTAATAAAGCCCCAAAAAATATAAACAAAAAATATTTACATTAAAATAAAATATTTGAAACATATATTTTAATTATTTATTATGCAGTAATACATACATGGTGTAATGAGCTCAATATTAAATAACAAGTATTGTAGGTAGTCTCCCCCATTCTTGGAAAAATGGACCATATTTTGTTGGGTGTCCGGTGTTTTCTATGAAAACAAAACAAAAAGTGTACATATGTCTTATTGAACAATTTCTCTTATCAAATATTAATAAAATACAACTTTTTCTCTTTAGGACTCATTTCTGACTCTCCTTTTATTTATTACTGTTCATGAAAAATACCATCACTAGTTCATATACTATATTTCCTTAGTTTATAATGTGTATGTAACAAATTGTTAATAATATAAATAATATAAATACAAAATACGTCTTAAAAATAAGGGTATCTACTTACCTCTTACTCTTATTATTCTGGGTTCAACAATTTTACTAGTTCACTGAGGCTCTCTCCACGGCGCATTCAAACAAATGAGATGGAGCTCCAGGAAATTTCTTGTTTTCATACCACGTGCATCTCGTAAACACGTATTTGTATTTGTAATAAGTAATTGTGATTTAGACAATTTAAATAATATAATTATAAAGTACAATTCCTCCAATGATGTTCCGACGGAGTCTATAAAAGTATTTAAACTTGGCCAGAATAATTATGAAAATCGCTCAAGACCTTTGAGAATAACATTGCAATCACACAAAGATGTCTCTAAAATAATGAGTCATGCTCGAAACATCAAAAACAATGATAAATTCAGGAATGTTATAATTTCGTTATATAAGACACCACAGTATAAAAGTCTTAAACAAGAACTCCTAGACCGTGCCAAGAATGAAGATGCGATTGGACAATACAATATATGCATGGAGAGCCAAAAATAGTGAAAAAAAAACTTTGTCCAAATATGGTATAAATTTGCAATGATATTATCAAAACAAAAGAGGGCTAAACACTAAAACACACAAATTTTTCACTGCATCAGAATCTTCGGAATATCATCTAATTGCCATAACGGAGACTTGGATACAAGAAAACGTAAACAGTTCGGAACTATTCAGTGATAACTATTTGGTATTTTGTGTAGTGATCGTGACCTTGTAAATAATGCTGTTAAACCTGGAGGAGGAGTACTATTAGCAGTAAGAAATTATTGCCAAGCTGTTGAAATTAATTTATTTGGCAGAATATCGTCTATAGATATTATATAGGATGTAAAGTAATTTACAAATATAAACTTTTTTCATTTTTGTAATTTATATTCCATCAAAATGTATCAGTCAACAGGTTTACTCATTATATCATGTGTTGGAAATGCTTGATTTCCTGTATTGGAATAACTTAATTATTCTAGGCGATTTTAATCTTCCAAACTTTACAACTGATGAGATGCATTTTGGTGATCTAAATTTAACTGCCACAAAACAGTTTGCAAATTTCTATGACTTATAGCAATATACAGTTGTCAATTCAAGGGATCGGTTATTGGATTTAATATACGCTAATATTAATTGTAATGTATATTAAGATGATCTTCCTTTTGTACATGAAGACGAATATCACCCGGCATTGAGAATTGACCCGATAAATTTTGTAGCCAATTTGGAAGTAAATAATTATAACTTCAGAAAAGCCAATTTTCCGTTACTACATAGCACCTTATACGATACTGATTGGTCTTTCTTAGATAACCATCTTGATGTAAATGATGATGCTCTGAGTGCATTTTATGGTCACATTTATTCAATTTTTGATATGTATGTCCCTCGCCATAAAGTTAGGGCCCGAAAGTACCCTCCTTGGTTTGATAACGATATTATACAACTTATTAAAAGAAAAGTCATATTGTGTATAAAAATTTAAATTGTCAAAACATGAGAACTATCTATTTAAATCTTTAAGGAGAAATATAAAATCTAAAATTAATATAGCTTATAATCATCACTATATATCCAAATCAGAAAACTCCTTAAAAAGTGACCCATCTCAATTTTAGTCGTTTATTCAAAGTAAGAAGGGTACATCCAGGATTCCGGGCATGTTTCACAATGACGACGAATTTAATAAGCCTATGTCCATAGTAAATGCTTTCGCAGATTTTTTTAAAGGTGTATTCACTCAATCTACAACTAATATAAATAATAACATTAATGCTGGTGTTCATTATTTCTTTAACAACGCTGTCAGAAGATGATATATTTAATGCTCTAAAAAAACTCAAGTCAAAACAAACATCTGGTTATGATAATATTCCAAGTTTCATAGTTAAAGATTGTGCTGGTGCACTCAGCAAACCTCTGGAAAAAATATTTAATGTCTCTCAAACAGAAAGTATTCCCGAATTTATGGAAATATTCCAAAATATGTCCAGTTCACAAAAGTGGATCAATTAATGCAATTACAAATTACCGCCCGGTGACTAACCGACTGTCACCAACTAAATGTGTTTCACTCAGAGAGTATGCAATGCACTCGATGAACAACTAGAAGTATATACGATATATGCAGACTTCTCAAGGGCCTTCGATAGGTTAGATCACAGTATTCTTTTGCAGAAATTATATATTTGTTTCAAATCCCATATCCTCGACTTTTTTAAGTCATATTTAACTGCACGCTCACTTTATGTTGAATATAACGGTCACAAATCAAACTTTTTTTGTTGCTACCAGTGGAGCACCTCAAGGAAGCAATCTGGCTCCATTATTATTTTTACTTTTTATTAATGACATAGCCAAAGTTTAAGAAGGAATATTTAATATTTGCCGATGATTTCAAGTTTATTTGTACCATAAATTCACAAGACGATTGTATAGACTTACAAAATGATTTAAATAATTGGTGAATTACTAATAAATTGCCTTTTAACATTCAAAAATGCAAGTTCATGAGATTTTCAAACAAACACTTGACTACTCAATACAAAATAAACTACTTGAGGAAGTGGAGAGAATAAAGCTTAATTTATAACCGCAGTAACGTAACTTAAGAACTTAACGTAAGAAGTTGAAATATTGAATTTACGTATGCTTATTTATAATGTTCGTAACGTAACTTAAGAACTTAACGTACCGTAGAAAGTTCACCAACTTTTAACTTAACAACTTAACTTAACCTAAGACCTTACGGTTAGCCAATGAGATAATTCTGAGTTCAGCATGTGATAACTGTCATTTATTCTATTTTTATTTTTTTTTTTTATAAATGAATAGGCAAATACCATTTGTAAACTAACATTCTCCTTTTTGATGGACATACATTATCATGAATGATTTGTGTTTATGTTATTGGGGATAAACTATGAGATATGAGTGTTGCTGCATATACCTATAAACATCAAGTCTAGAAATGAAATAAGACACAAAACTAGTTTGCTAGGAAAGATTAAATTCTCATTATTGCTCAAAAACAATCAACATCTTCGGTAAACTATTCTGTTTTATTATATTTTTATATTACTACTTTTAAAGTAGTTAATATATTCTTTCTATATAGCAAAATCATAATTTATAAGTTTTATTTAGAGGTTAGGTACATAGTTTACACTTGTTTATTTCATAAGGTTGTCAGTAATTAGATAATCTCTGAAATCAACACGCATGCTCAACTCTTACGTTACGGACATTTATAAATAGACTTTATTTTTATATCTTAGGTTAAGTTTCTACGGCGTTAAGTTAAGTTACGTTACGGTGGTTATAAATTATACTTAAAGGCTTTGGGAGACGAATTTGATAAGAAGTTAAGTTTTTTACTTCATTTATTTAACATTACATCCACAGCTCAGAGAATGCTTGGGCTCATTTTGAGAAGTTGTAAGGATTTCAGAAATATACTAATTGTATTATTCAACTCATTTGTAAGATCGCGTCTTGAACACGCGGCACCGATATGGTCACCCATGTATATCTCCCATAAGTTACTTATTAAATCTATCCATCGCAGATTTATGAAATACGTTGCATTTAATTGATGGGATTTATCTGGAAAGGGGAATTGACAATGTTATTCAATTGGATAAATTATCTTTAATATCTCTAGAAGACAGGAGACTACTGCAGGGCGTAACTTTTATAATATAAACTAGTTACTAATTTATTGGACTGTCCAGACCTGCTAACCCAAATTAAATTTAGTGTACCGCAATTTCAATACAAGATATAAAATGGTATTTTACTTGCCCACACCTCGAACAAATATTTTGACAAATTCACCTATCCATACCATTTGCAACAATAATTTTAATAGATATGCAGCTGAATTAAATTTGGACATAAACTTTGACTCTCTTACAAGCATTAAACGTAAAATCAATGAGTACTTACTCAGTCAATATTAATAAATAGGTATAGTTTCATTCTTTTGTTAGATTTTATAGGTGTCAGTTTAAATATGTGAAGCACAAAGCTATTCATTTAAATATTTTAAGTTATTTTCTTTAAATTAGGAATAATAATATGTATACATATACTTTTTTATTGTATGTCCTCTAATTGGGGTTTAACCTGTTTGGACAATATTTTTTTTTTAACAAATTGGATGGTTAAAGAACTTTAGGAATTTGAGGAGAACTGTGGTAATAGGAATTCTCAAGTCGAGATAATTTTAAAGGAATTGGATAGTTAGTATTAAAGAAATTTTAGGAATACTGGAAAACTGGGGAAATTGACAGGAATTTCCACAATGTAATTGCTGTCGAGAAATTGACAGATAATTTTAAAGTGGATAAATTTCAGATAGCTGACGAATTAAGATATTTTCAAAAGAATTCGATGGTAAAAGGGATTTAGGTGTACAAATTTTACCCTGCGGTTTACTTCTCGATCTTCCAGGATTCTTAACATCATTAGTCAACATTCTAATACGTCATTGATTAGCTACCTGTCAAAATAATGTAGGAAGGAAAATAAAACGATACATACCGATTTACATCATCTAATAGACAAAATAAACAATGTAACAATAAGAGAAAACAAATCAAACGTAAACTAAAACAAACGAAATAATAAATTCGTAAAAAAAAGAATAATTAATATATTTCTTGAACGACCAATATAACTTGGTGAATTTGTTCAAACATCAAAACGATTACTATTATTAATAATGATGTCGGGAGTGAAACTAAACCCGCTGGTGTAATAAATTCGTAAAAACAAAAATAATTAATATGAATATATCTAAAATGACCAATACAACTTTGAGATTTTTTGAAGCATCAAAACGACTACTATTATTAATAATAATAAACCCTAAATTTAAACGATAACTTTAATCAATCCCTTTTGTAAAAGGGACTGGTAACACAGCTCTCCGTCCAGTTCATGCAAACTAACCCGTAACGGATCTTTAGACAACACTTCAGCAAGTTTATTCTTCCCGTACAATTTCTTCATGTGCTGAGTAACGTGCTGAATATTCTTATCGGTATTTATCGAGATATTCAACTCGGCGATGTGACAGGACACCGGTAACTCGAACCACTCGGGGCGCATCATTTTGATATCACCCACGGCTACGGATTCGACGTTGCCGAAATCGACGAAGAAGACGAACACGAATTCGCAGTCTTCCATTCCGTTCGTGTCGTAAATTTGGGCGCGGTACCAACGACCATCCTCGGCGAACGGGCACACGCAGGGCATGCCGACTTCCACTTTTTCGATAACGGGTTGCTTGTGGATGTCCTCTTGAATTCGGTCGCCTAGCAGGAAGAATTCGTCTGTGATGGTTTTCGTTTCTTTTATAGCGATTTTGTTGTAAGCCACGATGAACATTATCGATACTTCTATTTTTTCGTCGGCGATTTTATCGGGTAGATGTAAAAGTTTGTATTTGTATTTGGTGGTGTCTACTGGAGGAGAGTCTTCCTTGACCTGAAATTGGAATATGATATAACTAAAGCAAAAACGGCGAAAGAAAAAGTCTGGAGGGTAAACATTAAACGATATTAAACATTCCTTAGGCACAAAAAATAATACCAATTTAGTACGAATTGAATTTAATTTCAGATTAGGATTTTTCAATTTCTAAAACTAATCTAATATTAGTTTTCAACTATCGCCATTAATCGTTTTAGCGCCAATTTGACAGTTTAAATGCGAAATAATAAAAAAAAATCAATTTTTAATGGTCAAATCAGGAGGCATATGCGCATTTTGTCAACAAGTTACTGCGCATCGAAACTGGCGTACGTCCGTTTTAAAGTAAACGGAATAATTACAAAATATCTCAATAAAAATGTGTTAGTAGCATGCCAAAAGTAATAGTTTCACATTTTTTTATTTATCTATTGAAAAATTTAAAAAATATGAATTTATTCAATTATTTATCCAATATGCCCATAAATATTCGAAAGAATCTTGACGTAATTGCTAGAGTAAAGACAGGAAAATGTTTAAATTAGCGCCATTCATTTTAATAATACGCTGTATATTCATTGATAGTCCTAAATTAAACACTTACAGCTTCAGTTGTCTCCTCAATGATGACAGCGGCATCATCAATTTCCTCAATAACAACAGCATCATCTAACTCATTGTCCAAGTCTTGTAGATTCCTGACCAAATTGGGACACAACTTACATATCGTTTCGTTCACATTTATACCTTTGTCGTTGAAAACTTCCGCCGATGGGATATCAACGTCCAAGGGACCCTTGATAATGATTTTACTATACTCTGAAAGCGTTTCCAAAAGAGCTTCATAATCGGAATCCATCCAAGCGCCCGATTTGGCGTACACTCTTTCTAATTGGATTTTGGACGCGAATGCGGGGATTTTGGGATACAGAATTTCGCGATTTAACTAAAACGTAAAAATGTATGGAAAAATTCGTTGTAAATGAGCGTTTGAAATAAACTTACCGATTTTTCGGATAATACGTGGTCGCTACCGAAATCAATCATAACCGCTGTAATATCGTCAGGTCCGTTTACTTTGTAAACTTTTCCTCTATAATAGTAATCGTTGTATTGTATTGTGCAAAGATGGCCCGGTTCCCAATTATGTTTGACCTCGGTTTTTGGTTTTTTGTCGAAATATAGCTTAATATTTTCTTCCATTTGCTTGTAGACGGTCTGGAGCTTCTCCTCCCTAATAAAATGAAAATTAGCTAAAACTGAACCCGTTAACAATATTTTTTCTTGATGAAGGATAGCCGTTTTTAAAAAAACGAATACCGTTTTTAGTGAAAGAATGCCATTTTTTTAATGAAAAGTACCATTTTTTGATAAACAGATAAGAGTGATAAGAAAAGCACAGGATGTCTGGATTAACTGAAAAAATAGGCAGATAATTTCAACTTCCAGAGAACTAATAAAAATAACTGTACATGAATCTAAAAATCCGGACTGTCCTTTCTGATCATTATGTAGTATTTAGGAATTCTCACCTTTCGTTATATTCAAATTATTATTGGGATTTGTCGGAAATATTTTTTAAAGTTAAATAAATATTGTGTATTTGTATATTTCATAAAACGTAAGAAAAATAGGAATTATACAACATAGTATTCCGCGTCTTATTGTTAAAATTCTAACTTTTATCATTATTTTGCAAGCTGTCAAGGTAAAAAAATAATACTATTGATTGTAATTTGAATTTTTGTATTTATATACGATTCAGGCGGTTTTATGCCTTTTTTTCAATAAAGAATACCATTTTTTTGATGAAATAAAATTATTTTTTGATAAAGGAATGCTGGGTTTTGATGAAGGAATTCCATTTTCTGATGAAGAATACCATTTTGATAGAATACCCCTTTTTGATGAAATACCCCTTTTTGATAAATTAATGCCATTTTTTTAACAGATAAAAGCGATAAAAGGAGCACATGACGGATTAACTGAAAAACTACGTAGATAGTTTCAAAATCTTGTAACCTAGGTACCTTCAAAATTTATTAATTTCATTTTATTAAAGAAAAGCTGCATTCTTAAATTCAAATTCCTACGTTTCGGAAAAATCTTTTGGTTAATTATATCCTATCTCGGGGTCTCTAATATTACAGAAAAGATAAAAAGTTATCCCATGAGAATTCAATCTAAAAACCTCCATAAACATATTTCTTTTCATGAAATAATAATCACTAAAACGCTTAACGCGCTTATCTTTCTAGTTTCGAATATTAAGACCCAATCTCGACAAGATTTCGATACAAAATTGCGAGAATTTCCAAGGCACATAATAAATCTCCCACCCCTTTTTATCCACCCAAATTCGTTCCCACCGGAGTTACGACAAACTGACGTCGCAAAAAGTCAGTAAAACGGGTATGAAGACCCGAACCCGAGGACTCGAGATTATTCATTTATTACTTTATATATAAGCATTCATTTTATTATTTAGTATCCAGTTATATTTCAAGTTCAGTAATCAGTACCTTTCCTAAATCGACGCTTTTCCTAACCGACGTCTATCCTACAATACGTTCTATCTATCCCCTGAACGGTGTCAACGTCCCGGTGCTCTATTTCCCCACCTTTTACGTACCCAAAGCTGTCACGTCCTTCGCCACTTAAGTATTTCCTACCTTATATTCATCTAGACGCGCGACGCCCTATTTCCCTACCTTTCTACGTCCCGAACGCTGCCAAGTATCGCATCTCCTAAGTATATCCTACCATATATCTGTCCCGACGCAGTACCAAAATAAATACCTTTCTCTCCGCCACGACGCTAGGCGTCTCGACGCAAGGCGACGCACATAATGTCTAATTTAGATGAATCTAATGTCTGTAATTTCAACAGTGAATCAAAAACGTTTATGTAACTTTCTTAGAGATACCACCGGGGTTTCGTTTAAACAAGGGCCTAACGTTTTATTCAAAATATTATCAATGTAACCGAATAAACCACATGTCCTTCGGGCATTCACCCCGAAAGACAGTTAGGTTAGACATCTATTTATCGATGGGTGAATTTGAGTATTTCAATAGAAATTATAAAAATCAATATTTTAGAAATATACAGGGTTGTATTATTTTGGATAAATTATACAACCGAGATGGTAAAATGTATAAGTATATAAGTTAGTCAACTGGTGAATTGACACTGTTCATTAGCTCAAGAGGGGCATCTGTACTAGGCCACCCATTCTACTAGGTTTGAAACACATCAGTATATGTGAAAATCAACACAGTAAGGTAACCAACTGGCTATTTGACGCTGTTCGTTACATCCGTTGGTTATTACCTCTATAATCGTCGAAATAATTACCTAAGAGGATACAATCCTGTGTATACCTAAGATTAGAGATAAGACTTTTTATGAAAAGTTATTTTTGGACTAGTCCAACGGACATGTCCGGAAAAGTAGTCGACCTTTAGCATAGAAGACACACAGTTAAATCTCCATCCTGGATGTTTTTTTCAAAATCACTGGGAACAATATTTGCCTTTTTATTTTCGTTTTTTTAGGCAAATAGTTTGTAAAATACTTCCAATGATGCGGATAAAGGGGTGAAAGTTATACTCGGATAGCTCAAACAGACTCACCTTGTGTTTCTCTACAAATTGATCGGGAATCAGCCGTTCGGGTGCCCATACACTTCACGTTGTCTAGCGGTATACACGATATAAACGGTGCAAATAGTAATTAGCGACTGCCGGCTGGACACTGTACACACTGTGTACTTATCACACGCTACCGAGCCGGCTTGAGCATAAAAATACGCGAAAAACTAGACCTTATTAAAAGGTACAATATTTTAGCCGCAACATCCAACCTTTGGATTTTTTTTTTCATGAGTTTATTTTAATAAGATATAAAATGAAAATTCGAAAACATCGTTAAAACATTATAAAAGTCAGTTAACATTTGTCGTTTTTTCTTTTTTAAACTAAATTTTTCCTGTTTGTAAGAAATTCTGCAAAAATTGGTTAATTTAATTTCGCGCAGGCGCAATACACTTTTCGACTTTTGAAAAGTGTGTTTAGACTAGTCAACTTTTCAGACTAGTCTGTCGGACTTGTTCGTGGACTTTTCAAAGCGGCCCATCACTACCTAGGATAGAATCAAGCTAAATAAAAATATAAAGATCAACACAGTAAGCTAACCAACTGGCGAATTGACGCTGTTCGTTAACTCCGTTGGTCATCAAGCTAAATATAATATCTTGGTAGCAAATGAACGTGGTCCGCGTTTGAGCGTAAATAGTACCATTTGTAATATACTTTGTAAATTATTGCTTTACATTTAAAGTATGAAAAATAAAAGGGTTTAATTATAATTATGAATGATTTATTTACCAATTTGTACCAAACTTTGCATCGAATCCTCGTTTATCTTTAATTAACATTATCACAACGTGGGTATATAAATTATCAATTACGATCCCTACTACTACTAGAGGAAAAAGGCCAAATACAGTAAGAATAGAATTTAAATTTAAACAAAATTGAGAGGTAAATGATAAGATTTCAGAGAATAAACAATGATTAAATGGGGTATCGCGGGGTGGGCCGTTACAGTCTTTCTCATTAATTGAATTTGAATAACTAATTCCAAGGAAATAATAGAAATAACTGTACAAAATTTAAATGGAGACCATCCTTTTTTGAACATTATGTAGCATTAAATAATATTCACCTTCGTTCTATTCAAATTACTTTTGGAATTTTTTAACTAATCTGTAAGATATATATTATTTAAAGTTAAATAATCATTTTGATATTTCATTTCATAAAACATAAGAAAAATAAAGTTATGTAACATGGTATTCAGCATCTTTCATATTATTTTTAAAAATTCTAAGTTCTTCTCTTATTTTGAAACTATCAGAGTAAAAAAATTAATACAACTGATTATATTATATTTTGTTGCATTTACATATGATTCAGTCGGTTTTAAGTCTTTTTTTTTAAGTTAATACCATTTTTTGATGAAATAATACCGTTTTTTCATTTAATAATACCATTTTTGATAAAGGAATGGCGGTTTTTGATGAAGAATTACCATTTTCTGATAAGGAAAACAATTTTTGATGGAATATCTCTTTTTGATAAATGAATACCATAAAAGTGATAAAAGAAGCAAATGATGGATTAACTCAAAAGCTACGTAGATAATTTCAATGCCAGAGTCTTTCTTATCAATTGAATCTGAATGACTTTTCCAGGGAAGTAATAGAAGTAACTGCACATGAATCTAAATCGGTGCTGTCCTTTCTGATCATTATGTAGCGTTTCGTCGTATTCTAATTACTATTACAATTTTTTAACTAATCTGTAAGGAATATCATTTTTTTTTCAAGTTTTAAAAAACACTGATATTTCATTTCATAAAACGTAAGTAAAATGGTATTCTGTGTCTTTCATATTGTTGTTAAAGTTCTAACGCCTATTATTATTGTGTAGCTGTTAGGATAAAAAACTTAATACTATTGGTTATAATTAGAATTTTTTGCATTTATTTATGTTTTGGTCGATTTTAGGTCCTTTTTTCGTAAAAGAATACCATTTTTTGATGAATAACAGAAATTTTGATAAAGGAATGCCATTTTAGGATATAGGAATACCAGTTTTTGGTGAAGGAATACAATTTTTTATGAAGGAATACTATTTTTTTATATTTATAAAGAAATACCATTTTTTTTGTGGAACGGATAAATCCTAAATAAGACGTACCTCAAGTAAATGATCCCGCCAGTCTCGGCGCACGTTATCCACGCCTTAAATTCCCTCTCTTCAATAGGAAACGCGGGTATCCAATCCGTAATTTCCGCCGCTTGAGTCCTATACGGAGAATCGTTGTCATTTTTATTTTTCTTTTTCTTCTTTTTCCTGTCCTTCTCCTCTTCTTCCATTAGTACGTTCCAATCAATGGACTTGTTGCTCTTCCCTGACATTTTAGAAGACGTTACGGATGCTTCATCTTCTTTCAGTCCAGACGTTGAAGGTTCCTTAGTTTTTGGATCGGTAGTTTCGTCTTTGATGTCGGGAATGGAGTCCTGATCAGTCGCGTGATCGGAGATCGTACTGGAAGAAGCATTTATGGCTGTCTTTTCAATGGCAGAAATGAATGGGGATTCCGAATGGGAATCAGTTGATTTTCTAAGAAAAACAAAATATAAGCTATGAAATAAAAAGGAGAATTAAATATAAATATTATCCGTGTTTAATCAACTAATTTATTGTTAAATGGTTTATAATAACTTTTGGAAAACATGAATAGGACTTGTTAAAATCTATCATGATACTGGTTATAGTAAAATTTCTAAAAATGAAGAATTAATAAATGAGGTCTTATATAAGTAATGGAAATGATTGAAGATTTATGACAAAATAATCTTCATCAAAGAAATTTTTATAATCTTAATAATAACTAGATAATTAAAATTTAAAAAAAGAAAAAATGAAAGTAGAAAAAAGAAAAATGAAAGTAGAAAATTTAAAATATTTCCTGATTTCACCAAAGACCTCCTTCAAGCCCACCTGACATATAAATATCTTACCTGGAACTTTTGTTGCTACTGACGCTTTCGGGTTTATTATATGTCATTTTGTAAGCGAAACCCAACTTGACCAGCAAATTATTCAAAGATATAAATTTAGTTTGCGACGCCTCCAAAGCACCTCCCATTTTCACTTGTGTGTACCACATGTGCATGGGCATCGATTTATCCTTGGTGTCGCCTGCAACCTTTGTGCCATATATATCTTTATATTTGTCAAACATTCTGAGAAAAAAAAAACAGGTTGAAAACAAATCGGAAAAAATTGGAATACCGTCCCAGAATACAACTTATAACTACTAGGCCAGTCAGTAAAGACATCCTATTTTGAACATTTCACATTAATTACAAAAGTTTTCAAACTTTGCAATAATAATCGGCTAGTTTTATTAACATTAAGTTTAAATTTGCAATCATTTCCAAGGTCCGGAACTAGTTAATTTATACCAAAATGGCGCCTATGTTTATAATGTTGAAAAAAGAAATGCAAAAGTGCTGCAAACTTGAAGAAATATATATTGTATTACTTTTAGCATTATATCAGATTTGCACCTTTTTTGAAAGTCCGGAACATGATTTTTTTGTAAAATAGCGTTTTTGTTTATATCATAGACAAAAAAATTGCAAAAGTGCTGCAAACTAATGACATAACTCATACAAGATTTTGGAACAGCTATTCCAATTTGCAACTTTTTATTTTGCACGAAAATTATCAAAATAATTTTTTATCTTCCTCTAATTTTGTCAAAAAAAAAAAAAAATGCAAAAGTTTTGAAAATTGGTTGCAAATGTTAATATTATTTTTCTTAACAATCTGGTAAATTTGCAACCTCGTACAATTCGCACATTTTGCAGTTGCCAAAAATTTTGAAAAGTATTGCAAATTTTACAGAACGATTTATATATCTTTATATAAATAAATGCAAATTTGTAACGCTTCAAGATCAATGCACAGATTGTAAATTCTCTATGGCCAATTTTGCTTTGCAAAACAAGTAGTCTTTTAGGGTCTTTGAAGACGAACATTTTCCCATAAAAAAGTTTGGTAAAATTTCAATCTCGCGTACCGTAGGATCACTTTCGTGCGGGAAATCTACGATTTTGCATAAAACCCAATTTTTTTGATCAGAATTCCGGAAAAATGAAGACGTAAAACGAAAATGAGGGATCGATAGGCAATTTCAAGACGATCATTTAAAAAAAATCACCTCAGACACTCCAACCCCATAAGGTGTAGAGTAATTTGCGTCGCGTCAGTCGATTGCAGTTTTGAAATAGTTTATTTTTCAAGAAAACATCGCTATTTTATAACTACCAATTGAACTGGACGAGAGTAATTCACTGATTCGTGAAAAAAAAACCTGAGTGGACTTGAGTTAAATATTTTTATGAAAACGGAAAATCAAATTAGTGTCGTTATAAAAGCATTCAGTGTACAACTCGAATGGATAAGTTTTGTTCCCAAAGTAATGGATTCGGAGCACCGTTAGAAACTTAACTTTGATTGCCCGAATGACGACAATTATCCGATAACGAATACCAAGATCCAAACTTCCCACATATCCAATTTTAAGATTCAATGAATTTAGAATAAATTAATATTGAGATAACTAATGTTTTTGACAATCCTGGATCATCCGGTTGCAGAAACCAAAGCTCTCATAATTTAAATCATATTTGGTTTTTGTTAATTTATTTCATTAAAACAGCAGTTTCATAATACCTTAATTTGTATATTATTTCCTTTTAATTTTATTTATCAATTTTGTGAGAATCAAAAAATATTTCAATTCTGTTTGAAGTAGAACCAACTGTCTCAAAGTTTCAAATGATGTATTTCTTAGGTAACAAAATACCGTTTTCCGTTTCCTTGTTTTATCAATAAATATTCTGTATATAATGAATACAAGGATTATTTTAAAAAGTTACTAGTAGAACTTTCTTATCAAACATAACATTCTTGTGGGTCATTTAATAATGTTTTGTTATTTACTGAAACCAAAAATTGACAAATGAAAAAAAAATATATATATACCTGTAAGAAACTTTTAGCTTTTTCTCATTATTATTTACAGAAAAATGTCCATAATTTCTATAATTTTTACAACTATAAAAATCCAATAAAAAACCGTATGCAATCACAGGAATTAATGTGATAAATACCAACCATTTTTTGACAAGTGATCCCATTAATAAATGTTTTCCTATTTTTAACATTAATTTGAATTTAAAATTACTATATATAAATTTTGAAAATGTCCTTCACGTTTAATATATTAATTTTGTGACAGTGTTACTAATTGGGCTTACATATTTATGTTTTGATCAGTTTTTTTTCTATATCAGAAACAAATATCTGTACATAGTTCTGTCTAGAGTGACAGCCCTGATATTTGACTAAATACTATTTTTTTTACCAATATATTTCTGATAGCTGCAAATTAAGACAATAATATAACAACTATACAAGAGTTTTACTTAGTTTAACCTCGAAAATACCTGTTAAGGTTGATGCTCACGAACGTTTTTTAGCAGTCGCGTTAACGTCACGTTGACGCAAACGCAATTTTTAATTGACACGCAGCGCTTCTTGTCTTCTGTCACGAAACAAGGAAAAGTAAATTCGTCTTAAGAACAGAAAAGATGGATGGTAGTTCGAAAAAAGAAGTGATATTAGTACCTATATCTTGTTTACAGTTTGTGAGGAAAAAAGGAAATACTGGGCAGATCCTTACTTAAATTTCCGTTTACTAAAGGTTAAAAGGTGCTTTCACATTAAGCTTTTTGACTCAAGAAATAATGATGAATATATTTTTTTTTAATTATCTTCATATGCTCATTGATGAACTGAATTTAATTCTTAAATAAAACAAGATCATTTAGGAATGTTCCTTTATTTATTTTAGAATAATCTGTGTCGAATTGCTCCTCGCCCATAGCTACTACGTTTTTCTACCATCTTTCGTGTGTAATTCTTGATACAAACTAATATATCTTTGCAACGCCAATGTACCGCTGAGACTTGATTGAATGTATTTCGACGCCACCGACCGTTGCGTCGACGCGACTGCAACAAAGGTTCGCGAGCACTGGCCCTTAAAATGCGGATGTTACTCAGGATGTTATTTCATCTTGTAAATCTGAACCATTTATCACGATACCTGCATTAAATATGTTAAAATACTCGATAGGCATTTCTTACTAAAGTTACGTTAAGAAATATTTTATTAAACTCGAATTGCATGATGCGTCTTTTATAAAAGTATTTAAAATACCTATATCGTTGGGACATAAAAATATTTGGTCCATCTACATTGGCCTGGTATAACTATCCGTTTTTCAGATGAAATTTTGCATCAGTGGGTCAAGATCGAACTTTTCGTTAAACCTTAGGGACATTTCTCTGACCGTGCAGGACCTATTTAAAAATGTATATAGATTTTGGGTTGTTGTTAGTTGTAAGAAATACCATTTTTAAGGTCATGCATGCAATCGTTAAAATAATGATTAATATTATTTTATTCTCGTAGTTTTATATTTATGCTCCACCTTTAGTTATAACTTTTATATATCCGCACTTCTAATACCCCGTATGCATCTTTATATTGTACATCTTTCTTTTAGTTTCTATATATAAAGATTTTTAAATTTAAAATTGAATTAAATCCATGGTGCTGCGAATTCTTAATTTTTATTAATTTTTCAAGGTTCCGGACTTGCAAATTTACCAGATTGTTAAGAAAAATATTTATATTTGCAAACAATTTTCAAAACTTTTGCATTTTTTTGACAAAATTAGAGGAAAATAAAAATTATTTTGATATTTTTACAAAAAAAAATATTTTCGTGCAAAATAGAAGGTTGCAAATTGGAAATAGCTGTTCCAAAAACTTGTATGAGTTATGTCATCGGTTTGCAGTACTTTTGCAATTTTTTGTCTATGATATAAACAAAAACACAATTTTACAAAAAAAAAAATCATGTTTTGGACTTTCAAAAAAGTTGCAAATCTGACATAATGTTGAAAATAATACAGTATATATTGCTTTAAGTTTGCAACACTTTTGCAATTTTTTTTAGTTATAATAAATTTGAATTTTTTGGAACTATTAATATGTTCTGGACCTCAGAAACAGTTGCAAAATTAAATTTACAATTATTTCAATTTAATAAATATTCCAACAAAGTTTGAAAATTTTTGTAATTAATGTGAATTGATTATCTCTAATGACTGACCTATACGAGTGGGCACGATTATTTAACGCATAATCGAAAAAAAATCGATATAATTATCGAAAATATTTTATTTATTTTGATATTTGCCCAGCTCTATCGATATTATAATATATTTAATATTTACTAATAATCGATAAATTAATAACAAATGAATATAAGATTAAAAATCAATTAAATAATATCAGTAAATCGATTAACCTAATAATCGATATTCTCCTTTTTGAAAATAACTAATTAATGAAAAATAATCGATACCTGCATTAATCAATTACTTGAAAAATCGAGTAATCGATTATTTGAAAAAATCTAAAACTCAATTAATTGAAAAATCGATGAATACAAAAGAATCAATTTTCATTTATGGAAAACAATCGATTATTTATTTTAATAATCGCCCGTCCTAGTTATAAGTTGTTAAAATGTGTCAATTTATACAGGGCATTTTAAATATGTACATACGAAAGGGGGATAATTCTTTGATTCATTTAATGACTAAAATGTCATATAAACATAGCTCCCTCACTAACCGCTTTATTATCGGTCTACATGGTGTTGAAATATCAAGATTTTTTCGTTTTTTGTTTATAGCTCTTGCAATTTTGATATTTAGTTCAAATTTGGAATCTAGGTTGCACTGTAAGACATATCATTAGGCATGTTGAATGGTTCTGATAATCTACAGGATTATATTGTTTCCCCTTACTTTTTTGATGTGCGCCACCGGTACACAGGTAATTTAGCTAAATTAAATTGAAAATTTTAGATTATTCGCCACTGCCTATTAATTAAAAATTAAAGCTGGGATGATCCGATTTTGGTTAACAATTTTTTATTACAATAGAGAAAAGCTCAATAAAAACCATAACAAGAAAACTACGGAAGGTATGAGTATAACGAGAAAACAAAAATCTTAAAATTTCAATACATGATGTTTAAAAATACCCTGTAGATGAACAATTTATATTAAACTACAGACCTTTCTAAAGCTTCAATTGAAGAACCGCTCCATTTTTCGCCGCCAGCAGGTCTAATATCAGCCAAGTGCGATTTGAACACGACGTTAGGAAATTTATTAAAATATTTATTAAATTCGAAAATCTTTTCTAACGGTAAAACGGTAATCACGGCTCTATCGACCACGTTGACTTTGTATTTACGCTCTTCAACTTTTTCCACAATTTTAGCCCTGGAGTAGCTCAAATTATACAACACTACGCATTGCTCTTCATTTTCCCAATGGGTTTTGGTTGTCCTTTCTTTCGAGTACTGAATTTGTAATTCTTTGTATAAAGTCATTTCGGTTGGTTCGTTTAACTCTAATTTTATGTAAATCAAATCGGGCGAGACGAATTTGACTATTTCGATTTTTTGTTTAACGAGAAGTACTTTGGTTTCTTCATCTTCAGAATCGTCTTCTAGATATTCGACTTGTTTTAAAAGACTGGCTACTAGGCCGTCGTCGTCCGTGAAATTTTCAATTTCTGCATCGCCTCTTGGCCATTGTATAGTTTGGGAACTGAAGAAAGAAAAATCTTTCAAACTGTCATTCTCTTTTGTAATCATACATTACATAAACGGTTAAAGCATTTATTAATTATACGAGTAATAATAATAATAGCCTTTATTGCACAACAGATTTATAATAGTTATTTATGTATCAAGGGCGTAAAACAGGCGTTTATGGACCGCAACGTAAGAGCCCGAGCCGCTAGGCGAGGGCTATTAACACATAAGGCCCATAAACGCTGTTTACGCCCGAAATACATACAATATTTTATGCACGACCGTTTTAATAGTCATTTATTAATAAATATACAAAATTTTATGCACGACCGTATTAATAATAGTTTATTAATAAATATGTTTTATTTTCTATTTTTCTCCTTTTGTGAGTAAGTTATTATAAATGTTTCAAGTTGGATAAATTTTATACCTCGATATTATTATAACTCACCCTGTATAACAATCTACCAAATCATTTGTATAGTAAAATAAAAATAAGTCTTATTGAAACTAATAAGATGATAAAATAACAATAATCTATATACCTATACGCGTTACCATAGCAACCAAGTCAATAGGACAAGAATAGGTAGACGCCATTTTTATTTACAGTCGACTTCACGTATTGCAAGTTTCTTAGTATATTTTCGAAGAAATTTTATATATTTTGTTTATGTAATGGACAGTAGTGACGATGAAATAGTTTCCGGAATACCACCGCAAATTTTTAAAGCAGCAGAAGATGCAAAATTAAGTTTACTACCCGCCAAATATAAGAGAATATACGATAAGGTCTACGATGAATTTGTTAGCTGGTGCAAATTGAAGAATGTTATAGACGGTAACTATACAGAAAATGTATTTCTTGCATTTTTTCTGGAAAAGTCCAAATGCCGTAAGCCGTCGTCTCTATGGTCATATTATTCGATGTTAAAAGCAACTGTAAATTTGCACAATAATATAAACATCGCTAGATATTCAAGATTGATAACATTCTTAAAACGGAAATCAGACGGTTATAAACCAAAAAAATTAAAAATTCTAACCAGGTAAGAAATAGAATTATTTTTAGTAGATGCTCCAGACAATTTATATCTTATGATAAAAGTAAGTTAATTGTTTTTTTTTTATTTTAGACTATTATGTTAATATGATTATTTATTGTAGGTTGCACTAATTTTTGGTATTTGTGGAGCATGTCGTCGAGAGGAATTAGCTAATATTTCAATAGACGATATTCAAGATTTAGGAACAACCTTATTGGTAACCATACGAGCATCTAAAACTAAAATTGACCGCATTTTCAGTGTGATTGACAAAGAGCAGGAATCACGAAGTTATCTCGACTTATATCGAAAATATGCTTCACTACGTACGACAAATACCAACCACAGACGTTTTTTTGTGTATTATCGCAATGGAAAATGTTCCAGTCAGGTGGTTGGAAAGAATACATTTGGTCAAATTCCTTTTAAAATAGCAACTTATTTAAAATTGCCTACTCCAAAAGACTACACAGGCCATTGTTTTAGACGATCTTCAGCAACTTTGTTAGCTAATGCAGATGAGGATATCCTTAACATAAAGCGACATGCTGGTTGGAAGTCTACAACGGTGGCAGAAGGTTATATTGAAGATTCTGTGGCAAATAAAATGAAAATCGCCAAAAAAATTGTCAATGCTGATATGCCTTCTACTAGTCGCACAGCTGAATTTTCAAATTTACATACCAATTCTTTTGAGCATACACCTTTCAGCAGTAACCCAAATCATACGGAGTTAGTAGAAGTTCGTAGCAACTTACAACAGAGCAAGGTAGCAAATCCTAACATTTCTATAAGTAATTGTTCAAATTGTGTTATTAGTATAAAATTATAAGTGTGAGGATCTTATGTTTGGGCTTTTAAAGTTATAATTTCTTTATTAAACTCATATTTTGTTAATTGTACCAAATATTTCCTTGATAATAAATAATAATAATAAAGTTTGTTTTACTAACTACATGTGAATTTTTAAAAGAAAAAAAAAAGAAAGTTACTTTACCGCCCGGCGGACAATGAAAATATATACGAAAACAATGACCAGCATATAGGAGAAAATAAAGAAAATGAAAATACAAAAATGAAAAAGAAAATAATGATGATTATGATAAAAATGATGATGAAATTAATGAAGATTATTTAAAGGAAACTGATGTTTAGTTTTTATATTATATTTCAAAAAAAAAAATTAATTATTGAGTTTTAATTTCATCCCCTTTAATGGCACAAATACCACTGAATTTTAAAAATGAATAATTAACAATTTGGCATATATCCAGATAAGCGACCTTTTCGTTCATTCTAATTAATTCAACAAAGCCAAACGCCATGATCTTTTTGGCATAATTACTTTTAAGTTGTCACTAACTGGCATAAGCAACAAATTTACAGTTTTTTTAATTTTGTATAATTCTTCTAGAAATATCAAATAAAATGGCAAGAAAAATTAGAAAAAAAAATATAGGAAGAACAAGACTGAAATTGTTTCATTTGAAAATTACTAAAAAATAATTTACAAGATTGTTTCTGTCTCCTGAAAAAAGATCATAGCGGAGTTTGTGCCGTTTTGTCATGGACGCGACGATATTTTTAGATCATCAGCATACGAAAGGAAATTTACATTTATAACATCTGCAATATCATTATTGTACATAATAAAAAGGAGGAGTCCCAGATTCTACCCTTGTGGAACACCGGAAGAAGCACTATATTCAGGAGAACTAAAACCATTGAGTTGGACATATTGCTTTCGATTCCATAGATAGGATTGAAACAGTGAAATTAAAGAGGGAGATAATTCAAAAGCTACAAGTTTATTGAGCAGAATGCCATGATCCAGTCTCTCGAAGGCCTTAGAAAAGTCTGTGTAAATAACATCAGTTTCGGCTCTGTTGTCAATAGATAATAATAATAATACTCTCCCTAATTCACCCCCTTACGAGTGAATTTTAACCCCAAAACCTGAGCTTGTGCGGGGAAAGGGACGGCTATTATTATTTGCCGTGGCGCTCCGGGGCGACTTAAAGATGATTGATGGTGCCATTTGACTTACAGGTGAGGAAAACCCGGAAAACCTCACCCACCGTCATCGAGACGGTAATGCATGACGATTTTATAATATGCATGTCATATCAACAGAAATTGAATTTCTATTAATACTGCACACATCAAATCCTATACCGAACCATGCAATTAAATTAAAAATCCACATGGTCTGGTCTAGGATTCGAAGCCCGGCAGTCTCGGACCATAAACTTGCCTATAATTGAATATAAGCGCGTTAGACTGCTACACCACCGACCCGATTCAGCAATATATTTGGTGGTAACGGTTGATGACTGCTGAACGACTTTTCACGAAAGCATGTTGATTTATACTTATATTACAACTTACATGACGACATACAGGGTGTTAAAAAAAAAGTGTCACAAAATGAAATGGTGAATGGTATGACCCAAAATAAGCAGAAAAGTCTTAATAAATATATGACCGCAAATTAACGGTTTCGGAGATACGGACCATTTTGTGTTTATAACAATTTTTTATTATTATAAAAAAACAATGATATTTATAAACAATCAATAACAACATAGAGTTAAATGAGATGTTCAAAGTGCCCTCCCTCCATTTCAATGCATTGCCATTTGCACGACCGTACATAAAATGCATGTCAGCTAATTCAATATTAGTGTAAACAGGCATAACGAAAATTTATAAAATTATTCACCCACAACAAAATAATAACTGCAAATAGTATCTATGAAAAAACATCGGTAGACTCCGATAAGAAAAGCAAGTTTTTGAGAATGAAAAATGATACAAAACACTCCGTATCTCTGAAACCATTCATTTGCGGACATATATTTATTAAGACTTTTCTGCATATTTTGGCCCATACTACCCCCCGTTTTATTTTGTGACACTTTTTTTTAACACCCTGTATAACTCGCTCTAGCAGGTTTTACAAAAACCTTTGCAAAGTTGCATATAATAGAGTAGATCGATAATTTGAAATATCTCGACTATCTCCTTTCTTGAAAATAGGACATACCTTTGAGGATTTCCAAATCCCTGATATTTATTAATTTTTATTGTTTTTTTTATTAATTTTTAATAATTTTTAATAATTTTTATTATTTTTTATTAATTTTCATTAATTTTTATTAATTTTTAATAATTTTTAATAATTTTTATTAATTTTTGTTAATTTTTATTAATTTTTATTAATTTTTAATAATTTTTATTAATTTTTATTAATTTTTATTAATTTTTATTAATTTTTATTAATTTTTATTAATTTTTATTAATTTTTATTAATTTTTATTAATTTTTATTAATTTTTATTAATTTTTATTAATTTTTATTAATTTTTATTAATTTTTATTAATTTTTATTAATTTTTATTAATTTTTATTAATTTTTATTAATTTTTATTAATTTTTATTAATTTTTATTAATTTTTATTAATTTTTATTAATTTTTATTAATTTTTATTAATTTTTATTAATTTTTATTAATTTTTATTAATTTTTATTAATTTTTATTAATTTTTATTAATTTTTATTAATTTTTATTAATTTTTATTAATTTTTATTAATTTTTATTAATTTTTATTAATTTTTATTAATTTTTATTAATTTTTATTAATTTTTATTAATTTTTATTAATTTTTATTAATTTTTATTAATTTTTATTAATTTTTATTAATTTTTATTAATTTTTATTAATTTTTATTAATTTTTATTAATTTTTATTAATTTTTATTAATTTTTATTAATTTTTATTAATTTTTATTAATTTTTATTAATTTTTATTAATTTTTATTAATTTTTATTAATTTTTATTAATTTTTATTAATTTTTATTAATTTTTATTAATTTTTATTAATTTTTATTAATTTTTATTAATTTTTATTAATTTTTATTAATTTTTATTAATTTTTATTAATTTTTATTAATTTTTATTAATTTTTATTAATTTTTATTAATTTTTATTAATTTTTATTAATTTTTATTAATTTTTATTAATTTTTATTAATTTTTATTAATTTTTATTAATTTTTATTAATTTTTATTAATTTTTATTAATTTTTATTAATTTTTATTAATTTTTATTAATTTTTATTAATTTTTATTAATTTTTATTAATTTTTATTAATTTTATTAATTTTTATTAATTTTTATTAATTTTTATTAATTTTTATTAATTTTTATTAATTTTTATTAATTTTTATTAATTTTTATTAATTTTTAATAATTTTTTTTAATTTTTTTTAATATTTATTAATTTTATTTTTATTCATTTTTATTTATTTTCATTTATTTATTTATTTTCATTTATTAATTAATTTTACGATACTCCCCATTTCCCTCTCCTTAAAATGTGAAAATTCAAAAACCTTGAAATGCATCATTATTTACTAATAATGAGTAGCTACAATTCCAATTTTCAAGTTTCTACCTTTAAAAAACCGAAAGTCTTACACAAACTTTCACCTCCTGTTTCCCCCCTTAATGTCTATTTATTTATGATAAGTAGCTACAATTCCAATTTCCTACCTTTAAAAAAAGTAATAACCCCATACAACATTTCCCCCATGTCTCTACTTTTTCCCCTTTCTTTCATTTCTATTTTCTCCCTTTTCCCCTTACAATATGAAAATCCAAAATCCCTAAAACACACCATTATTTATTTGTGATGAGTAGCTATAATTTCAATTTTCAAGTTACTACCTTTAAAAAAATCGATACTTCCATATAAACGTTTAACCCGTTTCCCTCCCTTAAAATGTAAAAATCCAAAAACCCTGATACACATCATTATTTATTTATGGTCAGTAGGCTGTATTTCAAATTTTCATGTTTCACTACCACTATACAAAACATCATGTCTGTGAAAAACAAAAACAAATCTATCCCACGGGTACTGTATATTTTTCCGGGATAAAAAGTAGTCTATGTGCTATTCCAGACTATAATCTATCTTTGTGCCAAATTTAATACAGATCCGTTCAGCCGTTTTTGCTTGATTGAGCAACAAATCCATCCATCCATCCAAACTTTCGCATTTATATATAGGATAGGATTAAAATGAATAGCTTATATCAAAAACCGATTGTTCGTTTTTAGGTTAAATATCAACTTTTTTAAATGAATTAAAAAAAAAGGAGTTTTTTTATTAATATTCTGCAAAGTTTTTGAATCTAAATGTATGGCAGTTGTCAGTATATGGAAAAATCTATTAGTATTTTCGAAAAAAATATTATTCTTGCTAAAAAGTTTTGCATTAAAAATTATTGATAAAATCAAACAATTTAAATTTGTGAAATATTTAATACTGTACAGGAAAAATAAAAATTATTAAACTAGTTTTTTAAATTTTTGTAATTTTAACGTACCTGTTTCTTTCTTCATCGATATTTAAATAAAGATTTAGCAATAAATGTCTTTTAATTGCATATATTACTTGTTTATATTTATTAGTTTTAACAAATTGCATAATTACAATCAACATGAAACATCATCAGGATAAAATAGGAACAATTTGTGTAATATTTACAAACACAATCGTATTTGCGGTCAATCTATATGATAATAAAAAATTGTCTAAAAAAAGCCGATTGACAACGACGAAATAGATTAAAGCACAGGACCGGCGTCAGAAAAATTGAAAAAAAAAAAAAGATAGAATGCAGTCATTATTATTTAATTTTCCTAATAAAAGTCAGAGCCAAACAAATCTAAGTTTGGAACATACTGATAAATTTCGTGTTTTATTAATATACAGTGGGTAGCAAAAAATCTGCACTATATTGTTTATTTATCAAAGAATTTTATTCTTAAAAAAGTTGGTGCATTACTTAAAACCCAAATTAAACTTCATAAATATTAAAATTTTTGTACCATATACAAGGGAGGTGCAAAAATATTAATTTGACTCGGGACTCAAGACCCTTATTTTTAAAAGTATAAAAAATGTTACTTAATCGCAGCTATATCTACATGAATTTTTTTCTTTGTATTGTGTAGCGTCAGGTGTAAAAACTGGAAATGGGCGGAGTTTAAATAAGGATACTTAAGCATAAACAATTATATTGATTAATTAAATAAAACAAAACATTTTAACTACCTTGAAATTATAACTTCATATGAACAATAAATAACGTTAACAACAAAGAGGAAAATATACAGGGTGTCAATTTAACATTTGAAAGATTTTCTCTTTGGATTAAAAATAAACATGTTTCAGCATTATTTTAATTTAATAATTACTGCCAAATGTTTGGATGGCTCCAGGCTGCACAGGTTGGGTAAATTAATTAATTTTTTATTTTTCTTATTTATGTATATTTTTTGCGATAAAGCCGTAATTAACAACGTAATTGGGTTTTCGCGACAATAAATAAAATAAATAAAAACTCGTACCGGCTGTCTTTTTTGTATTCTATTTTTATAACATAATTTAATTTTTAATATTCTTAACATCGATAAAAAATATTAAGAGACAAACAAAATAAATATCTTTCTAATTATGGACACTCGTATATTTACGAATGGCAAATGTTCATTCAATATAAGAAAAAAAAATAGTGACTTACATCTTTCCAGTAGACTCTGCATAATTTTCTTCCACCAACAACGCGTTTACGCTAATATCGACATCGCCGACAATTTCAAATAAACCGACCTCTAACGGATCCGTATCATATACGATCATTCTCATCACGTCTTGAGTTCGGTAATACTTTTGCAAGAATGTACTCGCCGATTCCAACCAAGTGCCTTTATCGATGGGTTCCACGTGCGCGAGTTTCACTAAAATCGCCTAACAAAGAAATGACAAATGACAGTCAAAAATTGACAAATGACGGTCATAATTTGGCCAATGAATGTTATTAATTGACAGATATGTCATAAATTGACAAATGATTTATTATAAATAATTTATTATAGTTATAAAGTGATCAATGATAGTCATAAACCGACAAATGACAATCATACATTGATAAATGATAGTTATAAATTGACCAATGAATCAAATTGACAAATGAGTTATGAATTGATCAATGAGTCATAAAATTAACTAATGGCAGTTATAAATTAATCAAAGATAAAATGACAAATGATAGTTATAAATTGACAAATGACAGTCAGAAATTGACAAAACAGTTATAAATTAATTAATTTCAGTAATAAATTGACCAATGACATTTATAAATTAACCAATGACAATCATAAATTGATCATTCGCAATTATAAATTGACTATCATAAACTGAAAAATTATAGTTGTAAATGACAAGTCATAAATTGACAAATAATAGTTATAAATTGGCCAATGACTAAAAATTAACGTCATAAATTGTCGTGATAGTTATAAATTAATCAATGACAGTTAAAAATTGCCAAATGATTGTTATAAATTGACAAATGATAGTTATAAATTGATCAATAAGTCATAAATTGAGAAATAAATTTTAAAATGGTCAACTTCAGTAATAAATTTACTAATGACAGTCATATATTGACCAATGACAATTATAAATTGACCAATGACAGTGATAAATGCTATTTATAAATTGACCAATGTTAATAAATTGACCAATGACAGCTACAAATTGACTAATGACAGTTATAAATTGATCAATGATAGTCATAAATTGAGAAATAATAAATTGACAAATGATAGTTATTAATTTACCAATTACAGTAATAAATTGACAGTTACAAATTAACCAATGTCAATAATAAATTGACCAATGACAGTTATAAATTGACAAATGAAAAAACGTAAATTGACCAATGACAGTCAAAATTATTGACAAATGATAGTTATAAATTGACAAATGACAGTTATAAATCGACAAATCGCAGTTGACCAAACGTGTTCAATTAAAATTAACTATAAAAAAACTTTACCTGGCTTTCAAGTCTGATAAATTCTTCTTGAATTGCTCTGATGCTGGACCAAGGAACGACAATGTTTAAACCCCAGTCGACCAGTAAAACGTGGCATTTTTCAAAATCGACTCTTTTGATGAGACCTCTGTGCAAATTTCCTCTTATATGATCTTTATAATCGACGATAACATACGTACCTAAAAATGATATAAAGTTAAATTTGAACGTGTATTAAAACAAACAGGAATAAAAGTAGTTATTATTTATTTACCTTCAACAGGATGACAAGTGTTCCTTTGAGAACTCTTGTATCTAATTTTAAGAGACTCATTTAATCTTTTCAAAGTTTCCGCATGGCTGGCCTATAAACACAACAAACTCATTTTACAAAATGACTAAAGAAATTTATGTATCGCAAATTGTTCTCTTAAAAAAAAATAGTTTTGCTTGTTCAAAATATTAATTTAATATTAATAATAAATTTGTAAACAAATAAAATTACCGTTAAATTGTACCTAGAAGTTGTTTGTATTGTTAAATAATCTTTCGAAATACCAAACGAGGCGATATTTTTTTAAAGAACATTTTGTTGTTTCCTTAGAAATTTTGAAAATTTCCAAAGAAACGACAAAATGTTCTTAAAAAATTCTCAACTCCTGCGGTATTACCCTTGATCATACAAAAACGTAAAAAGTAATACAATGGAAAATTACAAAAAAAATTTGTTTTCTTTTATTTTTATTGTACTGTGGCGCGCTTGTTTCAAAGTGGTGTTACAACTCAAAATATGACGGTATAGCAGAAAACTTTTACACAATTTTATAGAGCAAAACTGGCACAAGTCAAAATATTACTTTTGATATTTAAAATTTTTGTTGTAAGCAAATGTCGGCCTTTTTTTATAACATCAATAATAACTGTAAAGTAGTGGTAAATTGTTAATATTAAATAAAAAAAATACTACAAACCCGTAAAAAAATAATATGGAAAAATACAAAAACAATACTGTTTTTGGTTTTTCTTAATTTTTATTGTATTGTGGTGGGCTTGTTTCAAAGTGTTACAACTCTAAATAAAACATTATAGCAGAAACATTTTACACAATTTTATAGAACAAAATTGACACAAGTCAAAATATGGTACGTTTGTTGCAAAAAAACAGCATTTTTACATTATACCGCTTTTTATAAATTGTTAATATAAAATAAAAAAAAAGAATACTGCAAAAACGTAATTCTGTAAAAAATTACAAACATTTTTTTTTTATTGTAACCTGGTGCGCTTGTTTCAAAGTGTTACAACTCGAAATATGACGTCATAACAGAAAACCTTTACACAATTTTATTGAGCAAAGTTGGTACAAGTCAAAATATTACACTATTGAAATATAAAAATTTTTATTGGGTAAGCAAACGTCGGCCTTTTTGAGTTAAGTCGCTTTCTATGATTGTGACTATACAAGAAATTTTGATTTATGACATCAATAGTAACTATAAAGTACTTAGTGAAAATTTGTTAATATTAAACAAACAAAAAATACTGCAAAAAACGTAAAAAATAATTCTATGGAAAATTACAAAAAATACTATTTTTTTATTTTTATTGTACTGTGGCGCGCTTGTTTCAAAGTGCTACAACTCGAAATACGACGTTACAGCAGAAAATGTTTACACAATTTTATAGAGCAGAATTGACACAAGTCGAAATATGAATCTTTTGATAATTTTTTTTGTAAACGTCAAACCTTTTTACTGTTTTTATTTTTATTGTACCGAGGTGGCCTTGTTTCAAAGTGTTACAACTCGAAATATGATGTTAAAGCAAAAAACACAATTTTATAGAGCAAAATTGACACAAGTCAAAATATGACACTTTTGATGTGTGACGAACGAAAACAATTCAAGAAACTTTAAAAACGACATTAGTGTCTATATTTAATAATTTTAGAAACGGATCTCTCACATTTTTACAGATGAAAAGTGAAAGGCTTTTATTAGCTTTGTCAATATTAAAAAATTGGTGCTTTTTGAATTGTGTCACTTTTGAAGAGGGAGGCGACATAAAACAAAAACTGGTGCATGAAACAAAAATTGGTGCTTTTTGAATTTTGTCACTTTTGAAGAAGAGGGCAAAAAAAATCAATTGTGTAGCCATTTTACTATTACAATATTTTACGTAATATTATTACATAATTATATAATACGATTAAATTTGGCAACACGGCAATAAGATCTTCTGCTTTCAAATTAACAAAATATAAGTTATTAAAATGTAACTCACCAGATGAACGAAAATGTGATGAGGATCGATGACATTAACAATGATAACTTTCTCTTCTTGAAGCTTATGAAACTCGGTACTATTTCCAAATATTTTATAACCAGTATTAAAGGTAATCTGAAAATTAGTTATTATAGTATATTTAACTATATATTTTTTGTATTAATATATTAATGTCACGTGAACCATTTTCGACCAGTCCGATCATCTTTAATCCTTTAAGCTATATTTGGGCCTCGTACAGCCTTCATTTTTATTTATTTAATGAAGTGAGTAAACTTCCAACCCCCCGCCTGTGGGATGACTATGGCCGTAGTGAATCATTATTCGGGAATGTACTGGACCCTCCGATGAATGGTAATAAAATTACAAATTCCGATAAATGCGCTAGATTAGAATCTTCGGGACCAAGTTCAGAAAACCACATTTTTGTATAAATAGCCCAAGTTTGCCGTTATAGTTCAGTTTAAGCTAAGATATCGTGCTGTTCAAATAAATATTGTCAATATAAATTAGTGTATCAGTAAGAGACATAAATTAGTGTTTTAGCATAAATAAATTAAATAAACTATTTAAATAAATAACTACCTTTTGGTTAGAAGCTACACTGTCATTATCACTATTAGTACTCCACGTGTTATTACACGTATGTATCATGATGTCAATAATTGACGTCTGTCCCCTGTCAGATGACATAATCATTAGATCCACTTCGTGAACTCCGCTGTGCACCTTTTTTACGAGCATGGTAACTTGTTTACTAAAATACGAAAACCATTAAAAAACATAACTAGAATAATAATAACTGAATTATAAAGATCATAATTATTATTAATTAAATGTCTCAGGCATAACACAATTTTATAATAATTTTCTACGAACCCATTCAGCATTTTTCCCATGTAAACGTGGGCGTTTTTACCCCATGTCATCATGGATGGATTATAAAGTTCGCAATGTATTGCAAACGGTTTTTTTTTCAGCCAATGAAGACGTAATTTGTCTCAATCTAAAACAATATGAAAATAATTATTAGTGATCAATGTATATAAAATATTTTCAAGAGCGCCAGGTTTATTAACCTGGTTTACATCCCTTCGATGCAGCTTGAGAAAGGATTCGAGTAGCTTCAGATGGAGATATGGAAAAATTCCAGGCTTAAGTTTTTATAAGAGCAAAAATGTATTATTAAATCGATATCTAAAAATATTGAAGTGTCCTTTAATTTTATTATGAAATTGTCTTTATATATTGTGTATGTACCTATTAAAAAAATTTAAAATAAATCAAACAATACTAGTATTGATTATACTTATAGAATAATTTATTACTTTCTGGCCTGTATACAGATAAGGAAAGTATAGGAATTATGATTTTTTTTTCGATCTAAGTTTTGACGTTTTAGGGTACCCTGAATCCGTTTTGACTATTTTCGCGATGTGTCTGCAAATTCCATAACTTATGAACGGATACAAAGAAAAATACCAAATTTTAAATTTAAGCTTTATTCCAGCCTGCGGTAAACCGATTAGATTTTGGGCAGAGTCGGAACATCGGGAGGGTACTTTATAGTGGGTTATTTTTATATTTTATGGAATATGTTATTTACGTTTGAAGAAAAAAATTCTTCAAATAAAAGTTACTTCTAATATTATTCTCTGTAATTTTTTCCCTTTACAAAATTTTCATAAAATGGTCCGTATTCGAGAAATTTGACAAAGGTAAAAAAATTCAAATTTTTATGAAAATTGTTCAAATAAAAGTTGTTTGTGATATAATTCTCTATAATTCTGCTCCTATATATAATTTCTCTAAAATGGGCCGTATTCGAGATATTTGAGAAAAAGTGTAAATTTTGGATTTTGAAGAAAACTCAAAAACGGATAAATAGAAAAACACCAAATTTTAAATTTAGGCTTCAATCCATCCTGCGGTAAAATGACTAAATTTTTGGGCATAATCGGATAATCTGAGGGGTACTTTATACAAGGTTGTTTTTCTACTTGAAACTTGTTTGCGTGTCTATAACACAAGTTGAAATATCCAGCAATTACGCACTAATGGAACACCTTGTATAAAATCAATAAAATAGGAAAAGTACTAAGTGTGACACATCATTATGCATTAAATTTTTTAATACGCTTATTTGAACTGTCACATGTCACACAGTCAAATTCCTTATAAAATTACCTTTTCAATGATGTGTCACACTTAGTAAGTACTTTCCCTATATCAATTTCATTGGTAATTAGGCATTCCAACGACCTGTCAAACAATAGGTGCCAGTGGGAAATTCTTGTATATTTAAGGGGGTAGCGACATAGTCTTGCAACTTGGACGCTATTTTTATTCGAAGTAGTACTCGCCAAGCCTGCCAATTTATGAAGAAATGTATAGATGGGTTTTTAAAATAATATTTTTATTGTGTTTGACGTAAAATATTTAAATGTAATCCATTATTCATGATTTTACGTAAAGTAGATAGAATACACCATATGTCGCCACCCTTAGATATACCAAACCTGCCCACTGGTAATTCATTTGTTTGGAATGCCTAATAGTGACAGAGGGGTGGGGAGGGATGTAGGATAGTTGAGGATATGATCAAAAGATGTCCCCTTTGAAAAAAAATGTGTCTTCAAGATATGCGATCTGTTTCGTTTTCGGTGCCTCACCCTGTATATTTTTTATATGTATGAGTTATGAAAGTAAAATGATTTTATTTAATATTTATAATTATTATTTATAATATCAAAAAACAGATACAGTAATTTCAAGACACCCAAGTGGCTATTAAAGTACGTCATTTTACTTACCTTGAAATATCAACTGTTTGCGTGCTGCCATAATCAATGAAAAATACTTCATACAATGGCTCGGTTTCGCCATTTTTAACCTCCACGACTCTACCTCTACACCAAATTTTCTCAGATTTGGTTTGATACATCACCAAATAGAGTTCATCTAAAAATATATTTATTTACAACCATATATGTAATGTTGTCATTACTAACGTCATTGAAGGTTGGGAAGTGTCACATTACACACCTCTACTTCCCGCCCTTACTTCCCGCCCTCATTTCATCTATTCTAGATGAATATTTTTTATATTTAAAAAAAATAACACATTTTTTTGACAAATTTTATAATACCTATTTTGGCAAACAAAAAACAACAATGAACTAAAATACAACGAACTACTTATTGATATTTATTATTCGCGAATTTAATATCCGGCTTTATCTGACATTTATTTATATTGGTGACAGTTGTTTGCCCCGTAATCACAGTAACAATATATTTACTTGATTATTCTGAGAAAACCGCGCGCTTGGTAATTTGTCGTTAAATGTAATATTTTAGGTATGTTCAGAACGAAACAGATGTATTAACTTTGATCGAAATATGATGGTTGTAAATAAAATAGTATACAAACCTCGGTAGGAAGTTTCATTCCTGTCTCGAGATCATAGCTAACCTCGACGCTTCGCGCCTCGATGATCTAACTAATCTCACGACAGGAATGAAACTCTTCCCACCTCGGTGTGTAATATACTATTACTCATTTATTGTGATACACTACATTGATAGTATTAAAGAGAGAACGACTTTGATTATGCTATAAAGCACAATGGCCCTAGGAAAATAATTGTCGTGCTAGCCATTTTCGACCAGTCCTGTATGCCTTAATTCTTTAAGTTCCTCTCTGCCTTATTTCGGCTACCCCTCGTCCAATTACCAAGAATAATTAAAGAAATAAGTCAATCCCCAAAACCCAACTTAATGTTCCGACCATGGTAAGTAGAACTCCTATGGACAACGCCAATCAACAGTCTAGAACACAGTAGAATGTTTGATGATGCTAAATTGCATAAATGGACGAGGAATTTGGTGGAAACGTCGAGAGCCTTCGCCTTTTTATATAAATAAGCTGCTTGTTGCAAGAGAGTTAGTTGATAGACAGAATATGTTGTGTAAAGATCAATTGTATGAAATATAAATAGTACTGATATAGAAAATAGGTATTTGAGATAAATTACTCTAAGGTTGTAAATAAATTAGTGAATAAATAAATAAAATGTTTAAAATAAATAAACGTTACATAATTCTTACTTAGTTCCGGATGTTCTACAGTAGGAGCTCCCATTTTAATGTAATCATTGATATCTCTGTTCATTTGTGAGAATTGATATTGAATTTTTTTTAGCCTCACATAAAAACATTCCAAACTTTCTATATGAGTAATTTCTACCATTTCATTATCCAAAGGAACTTGATTTACTAAAAATAAAAAAATATATACTCATTTATAATTATTATATAGTTATTTAATGAAAATACCTATGGCTCGTTTTTGATGTTTCTTCTTAGGTTTTTCCTCTTCAGGCGCGACTTTACCTACAAAATGAACAAAATCGATTAACACTAACCCCAGATAATAACGTTTAAACTGACTTTTCATACCTATGGAGCTGATGGTACTTTCAACATCGCTCTCGTACTGTTCGAGTAAATCTTTTTCGAAATCTAGCGGTAAATCATCTTCAGTGACAAGTATAAAATTACAACTGTCTGACTTGGTGATTTTAAAGAACTCTTCTATGTCATTGGCGATTTTGTCAACGTCAAATCTACAAATATACATCAATTTGTGAAACTTACATAAATTTCGTAAAAAACAATATTAGAAAAATTGGATGACTTCATAAAAATGCTCGGCAAGCAAAAACTGCTAGAATTAGAAGTTTACGATTTTCGCCATTAAAAATAGAAAAAAATATCTAATTGGACCTTGAGCAAGAGACTTTACAAACCTCCTACAATATGAAGGATTTTTAGGATCAATTTCTAAAAATATCTAATGGAAACTTTAGAGACTAAAAAAATTGCATGACTTCATAAAAATGCTCAGTAATCACAAACTGCTAAAGTTAGAAATTTGCCACTTTCACCAATGAAAAGAGAAGAAAACTTCCTACAATATGAAGGATTTTCAAGATCAATTTCGAAAAATATCTAATTGGAACTAAAGGTAAAAATTAATTAAAAATAAAAGGAAGCCAATAAATTACAGCAGAATTGCTATAAGTAAACTGAAAAACAAAAAGAAAGCAAAATACCAAGAGCAGAGCGACAAAGAATTCGAATGAGATAAAAACACTTATTGGAAAGCAGAAAAGAAAACAAAATACCAAAAATAATAATAATAAGAACTCCATAACAACAATTGCCACCAATGCACAATCAGTAGATGAATTAATTTAGTAAATTAAATGTTTTATCTAATGAGTTTACATCATGGTGTTATAGAGATTCTTTAATTGTTAATTCAAACAAAACCGTTTGCCTTCAGTTCTACTCCAGAAATCAAATTACCCAGAATTGTAAAATAGCAGTATGGGTTGCGATAGCCAAATATCTAATGTTTGTAAAAAATTAAACAGTGCATACTATGCAATACTAAAATTAAAATCAATAATTACTGCTTAATGTCTACTATGCTTTAGCATATTCTCATACATCATACAACATTATTCTTTGGGATGATGTAGTCAATGCATCTAAAGTATTTATCTTACAGAAAAAAATAATCCGGCTTATTTTTAATCTAGAATTAATGCGAACTTGTAAATATAACTTCAAAAAATTTAAAATATTAACATTTCCCTGTATTTACATTTATAAAACGTTGCTATATTCTAAACGCAACATACACCAATTTTTATAAAATTCAAATTACCATGAATACTCAAATAGGAATGCAAATTTATTCAGAACAGCATTATTTGAGAAATCGCCTGAATTTGTTGGAATTAAATTTTTTAATCAACTCCCTGATTTCATTAAATCTGAAAAGTAATATGAACCTTTTAAAAGAAAACAAAAACTTTAGTAGATTCATGTTTTTATAATTTATCTCAATACCACCATATTTTAAAGTAAATGTTTTTCTAATTGTATATTTTTAATGTGCATATATCTTAGATATATATTTTTTTTGTATACTGTACCTATATTTATTTGTATTTTAATATTTTTTATTCATTATGACTTATCCTATATCATGTAACATAATCCTAAAGGACAAATAAACTATTATTATTATTGACATTAATATCATTAACATAAATTAGGAATAAAACCGCTCCCAGAACAAATCCTTGGGGAATCCCACAGTGAATCATATAAAGCATTGATGTTTGTTTATTGAAATAAACTGTTTGTACTCTAGTCTCCAAATAAGACTGAAACCACTTTAGAGCTATTCCTTGGAATCCATATTTTTCTAGCTTGCTCAGCAATATTCTGTGATTTACACAGTCAAAAGCTTTGGATAAATCACAGAACACTGTAGGAGATACCTTGTTATCATTTAAATTGAGGTATAATTTTTCTAGACAGAAAACATAGCATCGGTGGTATTTTTACCTGATTGAAATCCAAACTGAGATGTAGATATCACTCCGTGATTTTTAAGAAAAGCTAGCATTCTCATATTAACCAATTTTTCAGAAATTTTTGCCAAAGTGGGTAAGAAAGAAATGGGTCGATAGTTAGGACAATTGGTCACCGCCCTTGTACACAGGTATAACATTGGCTATTTTTAAAGAAACACTGAAAGAACCTGTCCAAAATGAATGATTTATTGATTCTGCTAAAACATTTAAAGCATCTTCTGGAAGATATGAAGGATTAACTGAAATTTCATCCCAACCTGAGGAATTCTTTTTTGTGGTAGAAGATATCCTAAATTTCTACATCAGTTGGTATAAAATAAAATTAATCTTTAATATTAAGATTATTTAAATAAGACAAAGCATCAGTCGAAGGAGTTAGAAAAATTGTTTGACAGCAAAGGCTAGAATTAGAAATTTGCTTGAAAACTTGATGCGATAAGAAAAAAACTTACTCTAATGGTTCCAATCCTTTTCCAGAATTAGAAATCAAATAAGAAGGCACATCCTGGACCTTTTTCAATCTCTTAAACAGCTCTTGCAGATTTAATTTTTTTATTTCCATGGTTTCAGAGTAAGCCACTACATTGGTCAAATCTTCGATATAGGTTAAGAGCTTGTTATTCAATTCATTGACATCCTCTATAGCAATTCCTCCTGACGAATAGTTAGCTAACTCTTTTTTTAAATTTTTTTCGATGAACTGCAACTTGGCGTGATAATTTACGAAAAAACTAGAGATTTTTTTCTCTATGTTGGATGTACTGCAGCTATACAAGTCGCGTAGTCGCTACAATATACATTTATATTTTATAACAGCTACAATTTTTTTTGTGATACAATATAACTTACTCTTTGAGATATCAGGAGCTGCTTCAAAATTTTCTTTGCATTTATTTTGTTAGTTTGCAACTCTTTCATTTCTTCTTCAGTCTAAAAATGTTGAAACAAAATATATATGACTTGAGGATTTATAAGGCTAGACAAAAGATAGCAGTAAGAAAAAATATATACCAAAGGATAGATTTGTAGAAATAAAATTATAAAATTTGTACAAGGTGACTCGTAAGTTGATACCTTTTTTTACTGTATAGAAGTCGTTAAAATGATTTTTTTTCTTCAAATTACTGTTTTAAAAAAACTCAAAAATAAAATAAAGAATAAACTTAAATCCGGGCCTGAATTTGTGTACGGAAAATTAGGCACATTAATATGTCTGTCTATGTTTGTTTTTTCGGTTTTTCTTATGATTATGAATCAGGAAATGTATGCCTTTCACCTTGAACTTGAACATTTTTGTGAATGGTTCTTGCAATGCATGAATATAATCAACATTTTTCGACGAAAGTTATACAGTACCAAATCTATATTCAATTTGGAATTACAGTAAGTTTCTTATTTTTGAGTTTTTGAAAAAGTTATTTTAATGACTTCTATATACAGTTAAAAAAGTATCACCTTAGGATTACCCTGCATAATAAAAGGTATTTAATTTAGATAAATTTTAAAATATTTTTAAGTTACTTTTTGAAATGGCAACTGAGTAACAATAAATATTCAGTCTATTCAGTGTTTCCCCTTCCTCAACCTCTTAATTTTAAATAGGTAATGCATCATAAGAAACAAATTATTTTTTAGGATTTTATGTTTTATTTTGTTAAATATTTCTGATGCATTAAATATTTATATTTTTTATTTCATAAGAGAATTCACCATTCCAACACCGTCACCTACATATTACCAAATTAACAAATATTTTACTCACTAATTTAACTAAATTTTCCCTTGCATGGCTTTCATGTTTTTCAACCAAACAATAGCAGCAAGCAGTAGTCTTGCAAGTGGTGCAATAAAATTCGAGATCCATATTATGCTCAGAACATTTTTCCAATTCCAAGGTCCCCTTTGTAGAGACATTGAGAGGAGATTGTTTGTGAGACCATAAAGATTTAGCGCTTTTGTGGACGTTCTTGGAACAATCCGAGCAATATACGTCGCTGCAGTCCTGGCAATGCAGCGTCGCGGGTTTGTTGCATGAGAGAAAGCAACAAATTTCTGAAAAATGTATCACGAATTCACTAAAAATTGTATTGATAGAAAAATTATTTGCATCATAAATGGAGTATAATGCAAACATTTACAAACGAAATAATAATTACCTGTAGCAGATTGTTGCGAACTCAATGGACTCAAAACTTGGCTGGGTTTCTTTTTACTAAGGGGATTCTGGACAGGAACCAATGTCATAAAGTTGGGATTATTTCCTTGTGCTTTGCACCACGTTATAAACCCAATCAAAAAGAAATTTGGTGAAAAAATGTCTTGCAAATCGTCCGAAACGTATTTGGATGGCAAAACTGATGGATTTTTGCAAACTGGACAAAGTACTGAACAGTCTTTTCCCAGTTTAAATATGCAGTCTTGACACAGTGTATGTTTGCAATTTAAGATAAGTGGTACCCTTCCAACATAGGAATTGTACCTGCCTAAAAAAATAACATTTAAAGATTTGGGATCTTTTTTGAAGTGGTATTAGCTTGTAAAGGGTCAAAAAATAGTATAAGTTATTTATAAATAAGAAGGTTCTACACATTAACTACCACTGCAATTTTCAGGATTTCCGTCTAAAAAGCCAATTTAATTTAAACATATTATATATTTAAACTCTAATACATAGTAATCATCAAAAGGTATAATGTGTTTTTTAAGACGTTATGAATTATCTCGTAGTTGGCTTTTGTAACAGAATAGTATATTAAAATACAAGGAGCTATTTAATTTATCCTTTCTTTAATAGAATAAGAAAATATTAAAATTCCCTATTTAACTACATAAACTAAAACCATGTTGTTAGGTAGGTAAAAATTATAAAAGTCTAAATAAAGATGTCTAAAAATGTAAACTACTGGTAGTCAACCTGTTTTCAATTTAATTCATTAATTTCTTTGTTCTTTTTTCATATATAAATGTATGTTTTCTGGTGAATAGCAAATTGCAAAACTCCATTATAAGTCATGTGTAGTAATTGCAACAACATTAACTCTGAGTTGGATGTATTTAACATCAGAATTTTGGACATAAAACATTTGCTTTTGTGATTATTTTATCGTTTTAAATGGTCTATTTTTTTCTTTCTTAAATCTTTATTCTTTTGTTTTGAAATTTTTTACATTGTATTTTTCTGAGATATTTGTTTTGTCATATTTTGCCTGTTCTTTAATTGGAAATTTCTTGTAGAGCAGTTTGTAAAATAAATAAATAAATAAATAAATAAATAAATAAATAATAAAATAAATAATAAAATAAATAATAAAATAAATAATAAAATAAATAATAAAATAAATAATAAAATAAATATAGTATTTCAGGATTGAGATGGCAAGTCAGAATCAGATGGGCACTGGCAAATTTAAAAATGAGAGGAATTATCTCAGTTAATGGCTGAATTTCGATGCTATTATTTCAGTGATCTATTTGTGTTCACTTGTGCAGTGTTGCCAAATTTATCTATTTTAAATATTTACCAGTGGGCATCTAATTCTGACTTGCCATCCTCAATCTTGTTTTACTGTAGTAGTACTACTACTACTACTACTACCACTACTACACGTGTATTAAGGGACTATGTAGTAACAGAAACATACTTTAGAGATATTTGAGTTTGAAGTTTCTGATTATGATAGTTCACCACAGAACATAGGTCAATTATCCCATGGCGACATCTTTATTTGAAAGAATATCATAAAAAAAAACAGAATGCATTTTAGGTAGAAATTTTAGGCAAAATATCTCAAAACTTGTAAATGGAGACCAAAATCACAGTGTATAACACAATAATTCGACCTCATTTTAACTATTGCTGATCAATATTATATTATTATTCAATCTCAACATGTTGCAAAATCGTGGAATGAAAATAATTCTGAAAAAAAAAAATCATCATTACAGGTGTATACAGGTCTCCTCAAACCTCTGCACAAGCATTTATATGAGATTTAGAAAATTTCATACCAAATTACCTAAATAGAAATATTGAAATATTCATAGGGTACATTAATATTGATCTCCTAAATGTAACCAATCAAGTAACTACTGATTACCAAGCAACTTTTTACTCCCATGGTTTCATGTCTTACATAAACACTATTATGAGGCCACAAAGTAAAACATGCTTGGATCATATATTCTTAAAAAACAATATTAAGACTGAAAATCTATCAGTGAACTCTTATGTAATCAGCTATGATTATGATATGACTGATCATGATCCTATTATGATAAAAATCTCACAATCTGCCAAAAACTACACAAGTTCCTACAATACATATAAAACTATAACTAAAATCGATACTGATAAATTAAAACAAATAATCCAGAAATTGCAACACAACTTTTTTATGACATGTATCTTAATATCATTGAAACATGTCAAACCACTCAAAATATTAGAATCCATAAAAAATAAAGCCATGGATAACAAATGGTTTAATTAATTCTATTAAAATTAGGGATAAACTTAAAAAAGATCTACAAAAAAACTATACTATTAACAAACAAACTCACTATAAAACATTTAGAAATAATTTAAGCAAACTAATATCAAAACTAAAAATGACTATAACAATAAAATCAACCAAAACAAAAATGATCTGAAAAAACTTATCAAGGGTCTTAACTCAGGAGATGCTATACATGAATTGATTTCCAATGTTACTGATGAAATGAATACCTACTGGTAACAAGTGTATAGCTATATTTCTAGATCTAGCAAAAGCATTTGACACAGTGCCACATCAGAAGCTCTTAAATGTTCTTGAACAGAATGGAGTGAGGGGCATCGTGTTGAAGGTTTTTGAAAATTATTTGACACACAGACACCAGAAGGTAAAGGTCAGAGACAATATGAGTAACCCTGAAAATATACAAATCAGAGTGCCTCAAGGGACTGTTCTGGGACCTATACTATTTAATTTATACATTAAGAGCTTAACTCAGATTGATATTCAAGGTAAAGTTTTCTCATATGCTGATGATACAGTGCTAGTCTTCAGTGATAAAGATTGGGAAGTCATCAAAACAGGTGCTATAGCTGGAATGAAACATGTCAAAAACTGGCTGGATGTTTTTAAATTGTCTTTGAAAATTAACAAAACAAACTACATTGCTTTTTCAAAGACAGTGGCTGATCGACCTCAATTTAGAAGCTTAACATGGCAAAATTTAGATATACAGGAAACAGAAACATCCAAATATTTAGGTATAATTATAGACCGGCACTTAAATTGGGACTGCCATATAATAAATATATAGCAAAAAAACTTAAGATTTCTGATTTAAAAATTTTATCTTCTAAAACAATTTCTCAACCAGGATCTACAGGAACTACATTAAATCAGTTAAATGTTATTCAAAATAAAATCTTGAAGTTAATATATAAAAGAGATAGATTGTGTACCACCATAACTTTATATAATGAAAAAATTAGCAATGTTAGATGTTTATTTATTCATGCAGTGTGTTGTTATATACAAAAAAATGAATTTTTAAAAAACCCTTTAGAACATAGACATAACACTAAAACTGCATCGAACATGTGCATTAAAGTACCAAAACCAAATAGTGAGTTTTTTAAAAACAGTGTAAATTATTTAGGGACAAAGTTCTATAACACTCTACCTCTTCATATAAAATTATTAAACAAATATAAAAAATTCTGTAAAGTTAGCAAAATATACATTTTCCAAAATAATGCAAAGTTTATCAGAATATTCCAAGAATAAAGGACTTACCTAATACATTTTTTTTAAATAGTTTTTTTTGTTTCTTGCATAAATTTTTCAAGTTTTATTTTTTATTATTTCCTTTATAATTCATTAAATATAATTAAAATAAAATTTTAATTTTTGTCAGCACATACAGGTGTTTTCACCTAGGTGCTTGTTATTATATAATTGGTTTTCATTATTGTACTTTACTGTAATTTATTATTGTAACTTATAACTATTAAACTATACTCAAATTGGTTTTCAAAATAGTAAAAGGTTTGTCTCCTGAATATTTCCAGGAATACATTTCTTTCAATAAAAAGATTCATTCATATAATACTAGAGATTAAAATGACATACATAATATAAGTAGAACTGTCTGCATCTATAAAAAATCTACCTCTTTCTAAATTTAAAATATTGCTTCAAGAGCAAATTAAAAACTTGTGTACATTTAGTCTATTTTTATGTATTTTATTCTATTATGTATATTAGGGTTTCTAATTAATAAAGATCTATCTATCTCTATGCAAAAAAATGATTTAAAAAAATGTAGATACTTAGCTCCTTTATCAAAATCCTACAATTGCAGAAGGAAATACAATTTGAAGAAATGTATATTTTCTTAACCCTTTTACTGTGGGTACCAAATATTTTTGAAAATGAATAGAGCAACTTTATTGCAGAAACAACTTTATTCGAACTCCTTGTTCGAGGGTTTACTAGGAGAATAGATTATTTTTTATGTGGTATATAAAATAATCATTTGCTGCAGCAAACTGGTAAAAAAGTAGTTGGAACTTGAGTTGGAATATAGTAGTATCCCCCAATGACATCACTCTATTAATTTAAAAAAAAAGTCATTTCCCCCAGGAAAGGATAATTATTTCAACTGTTTAAAAATATAAATCAATGTGTATCTATACATAAAGAGCAATAGATATTCTTGTGAGACACTTGAGAACCTTATAAAGAATTGATTTTTCTATGAACAGCTGAAATTGTAACTTCTCAAAATTATTTCATTCTCATCTATGCTTTAATTACTATTTCATTGCAATAAAGTATAAACAATTAAAGTTCATAGATTTTCTAAATTGTACTAATTTGTAATAATTATTAAAGTATTAAGGTAACTTACTGAAAAAATCAAACTGCAGAGTACAATTCGGGCATTTATAAAGTCTATAATCAATTTCTTTGGAAAGTATAGTAGATGTACGTTTATCATCTACTTTATCATCTTGTTGGCTACCTTTATTTTTCTTATTCTGCAATTGATTGGGGATAAATGTATTATCATTGTCTTTATTGTGGCTAAAATTTTGCTTTTTCTTATGCTGGTATTGCTGAGATTGTTGCTTTTTCAGCTCGTTTGAAGGTACTAGATCTGTGGAAAATTGGGAATAGTGTGAGATATTTTGATTTTCTTTGGAATTTTTGTCCCTGAAGTTGTTGAAATCCCGTCGTTTGTCCTTCAGTTGCTTTTGGTGAAGATACTGATGTGGATGTGGCTTTCTCGAATCGGTCGGATATGACCGAACAGGAGGAGGTACCCATGATTGAAAGCCCACCAAATTTGATTGATTTTGATGGAAACTGTTGAAACCTTGTCGAGCCCCTCTGCTGTGAGTTTGCCGATAATTTTCACCTGTTAAAATTCCTGAACTTCTGGGGGGTGGATAATCGTAAATATTGAGAGGATCATTAGTGTAGCCGGTATCATTGCTAGGACCCGGTTGGTTGTAGTCATAACGAAACATGTTCAAGGTGTCACAATGTAAACTAAACAATCCAATAACTCTAATTTAGTTCTTTTTCACTATAAAGTATTAATGAATAATGAAGAGGGGTTTTAACAGACTTACAACACGATCATATATCACATCCTAGAAACGCACAACAAAAACTTTTAAAGGCACGCCATTGTAAAAGTGTTTCTTGTTTCTGACAGCTGTCAGTTGTGGCGTTGCGGGTTGCGGTACCCTCCCTGTACAGGATTGCCACTACCATCAATACAAACGTTTTTAATGAAAAAGTACTAGATTTACAGAAACTACTCAATTTTTTTGCCGCGTTTGCGAATCCACATCGGATGCATTTTTTACATCTCGAGCGTTTTTTTATCCACATTGGACACATCTGTCCCATTACATTTACGTATACTGAATCACGTGATCAAAGATTTACTACATCTGCTGCGTTTGAGAATCCACATCGGATGCATTTTTTACATCTCGAGCGTTTTTTTATCCACATCGGACACATCTGTCCCATTACATTTACGTATACTGAATCACGTGATCAAAGATTTTTTACATCTCAGATGCATCCGATGTGGATTCTCAAACGCAGCAATCTTAGATGCATCCGATGTGGATTCTCAAACGCGGCATACTCAGGAGTCGGACTTGGGTAAGTCGTTTGAAGTAAAATCGAAGTTCGGTCACTGAACTATATAGTTATAATGGAACGCTAATAACGATACGTGCGCGTGGTATTTTTTGACCGCTTATGCTCTTGAAATTGATGGTAAATTATTTTGAACGGCATGTAGGTACTTTTGTTGTAAAACATATTATTGAGTCTGCGCACTTTAAGATTTGTTTCCATCATTTTACAGATTTTTACAGAATAGGCATCAGTGATTAGATCTCTTATTTTTCACCGTTGTGGAATTTATTTGTGTTGACATATTTTTTTTATTTATTGTTTTAGTGGGTGTTTCTTTTTTGGTGGTTTCGAATTATATTTTAGTTGTTGTACAGATTATTGTAATATTTAAAATATTGTTTGATTTCTCCATATTCCTAATTTTATAGTGGGTTGGTGCAAAATATCTATACCTAACATTAAACAGAAACGTAAAAAAGCTTTGGTGCAATAAACCTAGACCCTCCGTTTCAAGGTCATTCAATTTTGATCGGCTTTCACATAACGTGTGTCTTTTTTTCCACCGGTTTGTTGCAACCGTTGTTTCACCGATGCGGCCTTGAACGTTTTGTGTTGGATTCTGGTTGACCATTGAAATAAAATAACAGTTGACATACCGCACCGATGCCAACGTTGCTGCAACAGTTGGATAAAAAGACACACGTATCTGTACTGGGTTTATTTGTGGTAATACCATGTACATTCCCAAATCTCCCTTTATACTTGTATTACAACAATAAAAAATATGTTTTATTTTGTTTTTGAAACTATATATAGGTTCAATACAAAAAAAAATTGCCACAAAATTGTATTTATCAAATTTCAGCATTATGTGCTATGTTTGAAAAGTACCTCACGGAGCGGAGTAGAGCTAGTAGATTTTTTTAGTCACGTGAGCATCGAGCAAATCGAGCTTATGTGGAATAAAAGAACGGCTATGGATTTGTTTGTGTTTCCCGTATCCGGTTTTCATTAAAATAACAAACGTAAACCTTTCTTTTAAATCAAATTTGATCTCTCGTCTCGTGGTTTTTGTTGCAAGTTGCCAAGTAAAGTAAATTTTTATCTGTGGTATTTTTGGCTTTTTTGCTTTCACTAGAAAATAAACCATGTTCTCATTTCTGTCTGACATGTTTTATAAATATTTTTTTAATAACCAAACACATATGAAAAAGAATAAACTGCAATACAAGAGACAACGAACGATGTCTATACATCTCAGAAAAGTACATCTACTTTGTCAATTGTCACAGAAATTCCATTTACTCCGAAAGCTCTAAAATTTAACTCGGAGTAAATAGATCTTACTCGATTTACCAGCTCTGCATTAAAATACCACGTGGCAGATCTCATCGAGAAGCCGCAGATGTATTAAAAGAACGACTTCGAGTAAAAAGAGCAAAATGAGGTAATTTTCAAACGCAGCATAAGAAACCTTTTTGAATTTGGTCATACATACCCAATTTGTATTTTATATAGATAAAATTAAATAATTTATCAATTAAAACATGCAAGACTTATTTAGAAATAAATACAAAAGTATGTTCTGTGCTTTATTTACCTATAAACAAGTTTATTTTTATTATTTCGACAAAATTTTGTATAATTCCCATAAGACATGTATTTTGAACACCGTAAGCAGCACCAGCGCCCATGCGGTTAATTGTAAAAGCTTAATTAGCGTGCGTTTTTTGGGACCGTATTTTGAGTATGCCGATTCGCCTCCTTATCTCTAGTCTTCATACCTCCAACCATAGATTACTAATGTGAATAGATGGGAAACTCAATGGTAAAATTATGAGTCGATGTGCTGCCATCTATCAAATTGGAGTGGTACTAAAATTCAATATGGCCGCCACGAGCGGGATTTTTGAAATTTAACTTTGTAGTAGCGCAAAAATGTAATGAAGAAAATCAAATAAAGCAAAAAAATTGGAAAAATATTTGACTAGTTTCAAATCATAAAACAACCATATTGACTGTTTTGTGATTTGAAACTAGTCAAATATTTTGCCAATTTATATCTTTATTTGATTTTACTTCATTATATTTTTGCATTAATTTCAAACTTGAAATAAAATGCATTTTTTTTAATTTTTTTTTTATTACAGTAAATTAACGCCGCGTCATATAATTTGTCTATTTAAACATGGAAATACTCTAAACAAATATGCATTTACACCATTTAAATAATTAAATATTTATAACACAAACCTATCAAAAATGTTTTCGGTAACAAGATCAGCATATATAAGTGCTTAAGACATTTATAAAAGTTTTGCGACTTGGAGTGGCAAATCAGTTTGAAAAAATTGAAGTTGAAGCATCATCCTTTTTTACTATCGAGGCAAATTTGAGTGTGGATAAAATTTGCCATAGGGTTATCGAGTTGACTAGTTAGGTTGAGGAGCATTTCTTCATCCGATAATTGTTTTCTTGATTCATTTATACAGCACTTGTAGTTTTTAAATTTTTATTCATCATGTGGGCACTGTGATAAATGAATTTAACTTTTGAGCATAAATTAAACTTACACACGTTTGGACCCTTGAAGATTTTAGGGCGTTTTCTTGTTTGATGTCAATGGCATTGAATCAGTTTTTGATATTGATGGCTGAGACTCAAATATTTCATCAATCGACAGGGTATTTTGGAGGGCCAACATTTTCTTTACAACAATGATCATTTAAAAACTGAAAACAAAAATAAATTTAAATAACAAACCAATTATTTTAACACAGAATCAAAAACAAGTTTGTAAATAGTACTTACCATTGATGCCAGTACAAGATGCATTTTTCTTAAGACACTTATTACAAATTGTTTGGTTATCCTTAATATGACGACCTCATATTTAATACGTGGTATAAATTGCATCACTACCAATATCTGGGAGTGCTTTATTGTTCGTTGCTGAAATCCATGTTCCCATCTCATGAAAACATGCTTAAAATTGGAAGGTGTTGAAAAATAAATCTAGATGAATCAAAATCCAATACACCTTCAAATGCAACAGCCATTTTAATTTTTCCAAGTTTGAAGTTTTGTTGACAAGCTGACAACTAACATAACATTTCGATACGAGCGCCATCCCGTTAATTGGAGTGGTACTAAATTACCGTCCTCATGTTTTTCCATTTGAGTTACCAGCCCCTGCCTCCAACTGTACCACCATGTTTATTGTCTTCTGCTGTTAGGAAAACTAGTTACAATTTCCAAATTTCGTATGGTGTGTGAAGTGCAAAAAAATACTTTAATAATAAAACAACTCCATTATGTACCGCATTTTATTAAATTTCTACAACTTCAATTAACAAAATATATTAAATTCGTAGTTAGATAATAAAGAATACTGACAAAATGAACTTTTAAATATTACAAAACAACTCTTTGGCGTTAAAAAAATAAATCTACAAAAATATATTTTATGTAGGTATAACTTTGTTCGACGTTTAATTTTATTAAAAGCAAACACTCTTGTATGGTTTCATACGTATTTTTAATACTTTAAAAGCAAATAAAATAATAAGGCAATTTTTAATTAATAGGAAAAGCGCTTTTTTAGTTTAAAATAGGAACTAAGTAAATAAATTAAAAATAAAACTATAACATGTCATTTAAAAATGTCAAAAGTGACGAAGCATACATATCTACAATATTTTTAAGTCTTTGTTGCGTTTTTTAAACAATAAATTTTTAGTCATGTCACGTAAAATGTCTATATTTTTAACATTCTTACTAGTTGTATTTTATTAAAGATCACTAATCAAAAATATAGTATAAGAACACATTTTTATATCCATTAAAAAAGCATAACTCTGACAGATATATCCACTGAACTATATATTAAACTGGAAGTCAAAAGCCGATCAACAAATGCCGCGTTTGAGAATCCACATCGGATGCATTTTTTACATCTCGAGCGTTTTTTTATCCACATCGGACACATCTACTACATCTACATCTGCGTTTGTTTATCCCAGATGTACCTGTTTAGATTACATTTTATACATCTCGATTTGAAATGAGATGTTTGTTCCATGCTAGAAAGTAAGTGTTCTGTGAAGCCTTTGTTTGTCAATTTTTCCTTTGTTTATGATAGCATGAATATAAAAGTGATTAGTTTGTTTAATTTTTGTTTATATTTCAAATTTAGGTTGATTTGTAGTCTCAAAAGTCAAATTTAATAAGTATAAACTTCTAACTTGTCATTGACATTTTATCACGTGACCAAATAAAGTCTAGAGCGTTTGTTTATTACATCTACATTCAGATCTAATTCTCTATCACGTGATAAAAAATTCACAACATCTCAGATGCATCCGATGTGGATTCTAAAACGCGGCAAAAGTCAAGCCATATAGCGAGGTGATATTTGACAGGCTGGCGCTCACAGGTGCGTATTTAAATGCACTAGAAGGTAAGCAAAATTAAATTTAACACTTATTACATTCAACTACAACTTTTAATTTAAGAAAATCTCTTAAAAATGATCTTTGATTAATACGCAGCAAAAACAAATGTTCCAATAACAATAATAATTAAAATACCAAGATAGAAGTACTCGTGACGTGCAATGCGCACCGACCGTTTTTTTCACCCATATCGGCTTAGAAATTAGGAATGGGGCTTATGACATATAGCCATCCAGTTTAATATGAAGGTCAGTGCAGATATCAAACAAAAGTAACTTTGACAGCATTTTCGAAAATGACAAGTGACAACTGCTGTCAACAACGGTAATTACTGTAGAAAATTAAGTACTTCTTTTCGTCTTAAGCTCCCTGCACAAATACCCCAAATACATAATAAATAAATAAATATATAAACAAATAAATTTGACTAAAAAAAAAGAATCGTTTTACTCAAAAGGTGGTAAACCAAACAATTCTGGTTTGAATTGAGTAAGAGAATCTAGGACTAGAGTGGCGTTTTTCTTCATTTCTTGAGGAATGTACGGAGCCGGCACCATCACGGATTGCATACCTGCGCTTTGGGCTCCTTTGACACCATTGGGGGCATCTTCAAAGACAATACACTAAAAAAAAAATAAAAATTCTCACCAAATCTTATTTAAAGAGAGGATAATGAAAATCTTACGTCAACATTTTAAATAAAAAATAAACATTTTGTATTGCAAAATTATTCCGGGGCAAATAGACAATTTTAAATATTATCTTCACTGCGAGACAACTTTATTTACTGTAAATAAGTTTTTCTTAATAAAACATTTGTTTAGCCCTTCCCCAAATAATAGTAGTTTGTGTAACAAGAGTGGATATGGTGGTCATAATATTAAATATAACTAGATCGAAGATATATAATCCTTTGCGTTCTATATCATAATCTTCACAGTTTAACAAATCCCCCTTAATTCCCCATTTTTATTCAGATTAATTTTTTTCGAATCAATAGGCTTCATCCCCTTATAGAGCTTGATTTATACTAAAAATTTCATGTTGATATCGCTTTTCGTATTGGATTTATATTTTTTCAACCAAACTTAATGCTCCATTTTAATTCATAGGCTTTGTCCCCTTATAGAGCTTAATTCTCTTGAAAATTTCAAGTCGATATCGGTTTTAATTTAAGATTTTTTTTTTAATTTCAACCCCCCTTAACCCCCTTCCAGTTTCCGTTGCAATTTTTATTTTTATTAAGAACATAATTTTGAAAGTACGACCCACTAACGTAAATAAAAAAAAAATAATTTAGAACAGAAAGATTATTAAAATTTTTTAATCAGGTTCTTTCAAGAAGTTTCCTTAATCGGGGGTATTTTTTCCGGTGTTTTTCCTAGATTCGATTTTAATAAACCCATATATTTGTATGAAATAAAATACTATTAAATAAAAATAAAATTTTGTTAATTTATATTAATTTTTATTATTTTTTTTTTGTCAAAGTCCAAATACATCAACTTATTAAATATATTTATTTCTTTAAAACTGAGGAAAAGGGAGATTCTCCGTCATACCAAATCTCAACAAGAATTAGGAATTAGGAACAAGTTATTTATCTTGGTAAACTTTTTTATCTATTTCTTAAATGTTTTCCAAAAAAATATTAACAAATAATAATAAAAAAAGTAAACCGGCTTGGTTTTACGACGTCAAAACCCAATTAGAAAAAAATTACTTAATTCATCGAATATTAATAAGCTAATAGCGTATATCGTTAAATAGGTATTATAGTTAATTAACAACTAATTTATTTAAATAACATTAAGTGATGCATTTTAAAAAAAAATTCAGCAAATGCAACTTATATTCAAAATTATATATCAAAGGCTATTATTTACACAAAGAAAATATCCAATGATAATCAACGTGATTATTTTTAACTGCTGATTGCAGGTATACCTAATTTGTAATCATTTGATAAGATTGTATACACCCAAGCAGACCATGATTAACCTTGGATCTCAAAAAAACTTTACAGCTATTTAAATAATAATAGTTCATTAGCAAACCAAATTTCCTACCGCAGGTATAATTTTGGCAACTTGCCTGATAGAACATTAGTCAGAATAAAAAATAGAAAATCGAAAAAATTGTATCCGAGTCTGCCAATAAAAATGGGACATAGACAAATAGTTTGTAATGAGATTTATGCATAAATAATTGGGTAAAAAAATATGATTCAAGCATAGCTGAAAATAAAAACTTACTTCGGAGAGAGATAATAGAAAATGTATTTTTTTTCTACAACTGTTAAATTAATATTATTTGTTCGAGAAAACAATTATAAATAAATTTTGTTAGTCCAAAAAATTATGAATGCTCTTTAATTAATGACCATCAATTAGTATCCTGAACTGTAAATTTTAAGCAAAATAAATCTGAGCCGTTTCTTTATACTTTCCGAGATTATAAACATTTTAACAGACTCATGATCTCATGGCTACTGATTTTGAAGGTATTTATTATATGAATAATGTTGATAAAGTTAGACATTGCAACCTTTTGTTATTGGTTTTTAATGTTCATGTCCCTATAAAAACAGTTAAAATTTCAAAAAAAAAACTCACTTATAATCTAAAATATATGTTATCTCTTCATAATAAAGCCCTAAGTTACCTCTCAAAGGCATTTGATTGTGTTAGCCACAGCAAACTATTGGATAAACTCCCATACTATGGTATAAGAGGTAAAGGTCTTGATCTCCTAACCCAGTACTTAAAAGACCGTTGTCAATTTGTACAAATTGGAAACAATACTTCAGAAAATCAAAAAGTTCATGCTGGAGTACCCCAAGGCTCAATTCTTGAGCCAACCCTCTTTATACTATACGTGAATGACCTACCTTACTATCTGAAGCCTACTTTTTCCGTTCAGTATGCAGACGACACTACTTATTATCACTGTAACAAGGACAAAGACGAGCTAGAAACTCTTGATGCTGGAGCTCTTGCCTTGTCTAACTTATGGTTCTCTAGTAATAATCTTTTACTGAATACTGACAAAACAGTCAAAATGTTGTTTACACTCAGAGATATACCTCAGCAAACTAAATCAACAAAATTCTTAGGTTTAACATTAGATAATAAACTTGATTGGAAACAGCATATAGAGAGTCTATCAAAAAAACTATCTAGCACGTTATTTTTAATCAGAAAATTATCATGGTACACTACAAACGAAGTCTGTAGAACGGCCTATATGGGTCTTTTTCATAGCCACCTGTCATATGGGATACTGCTGTGGGGAAATTCTGTAGACTGGCAAAAAATATTCATATTACAAAAAGCGGCAGTACGTGCAATAACAAAAAGGCCTCATCTAGAGTCATGTAGGCCATTATTCAAGGAACAAAAAATATTGACACTCCCATCTCTTTATATATTAGAATGTTTATTATATGTGTAAAAACAAATAAAATAAATACTATACTACTAGGAGATACCTATGAGCACAACACTCGGTCAAGAGAACAATTGTTATTACCTAAACACCGACTAACATTAACTGATAAAAGCTTTATATGCAACTCTATTAAACTATATAATAAACTTCTCCCACAGTTTAAGCTTTTTAATGAATATAAATTCAAAAAAAAGATCAAGGAATTATTATTTTATCTAAAGTCTATTCAGATTTCATTTACGTCCCGTCAAAATAATTTCTCCCATCCAGCAACAGCTCACGTGACATTTTTTTGCGCTTCTATTGGTTAATCGGTCGTTAGTCATTTAGACGACGCGTAAATATTTTTTATCAAAGTCGAATACAGTTCAATTTAGATAATTATAAACGGCGTTTTGGTAGCATTCACCGTGTTGATTAGTTTGGACATTTTGTATGTTTGATTGATTATAATTCATTATATTATAGTTTAGATATACATATATTGTGTTATTTATTTTGTTTGTTTTTGTGGTTGTTGTTAGTTTGAACATGTTTTACTCTATTTTATTGACATTTAATTGACTATATTTTGTAATTGCTGCGTGACACTATGTCATCCACAGATACAGCAGATGAAGTCCAGAAAAATGTTTTTACTCCTAAAAAGCGACTGAAAAAGGGACATTTGGTCATCCGTACTAAAGAAATGGTTCTTAATATTTATAAGCATTAAATTTTATAGAACCCTGATATGTTGGTACATGATGTTAAAAGTAGAGTTGCTGATAAAACAGGGATGTGCGCTAAAACCGTTTTTAATGTTATGAAGGAGTATAGGCAGATTCATAAATTTTCTGAACCAAAAAGAAAGCTACGTTATAAACAAATTAGTGGAAAAAATAGCTTGCTTTTAGATAAAAATGAAATTGTTTCGTCCTACGCCACAAAAAATAAAACGGTACAGAGAAGAAAAGCAAAAAATATATTATCTTGATGAGACTTGGATTAACGCAGGCCACACCAAATCAAAAGTATGTTTCGATATGTCGGTTTTTTTATCCAGACAAGCCTTTTTGGATGAACTTTTAACTGGTTTTAAAAACCCATCAGGTATGTGCGTAAAAACAGCTCATTATATGCCATATTGGAAGTGAAGAAGGCTTTGTCTCTAATGCACTTTATGTATTTGAGTTGAAAAATCCGGTGACTACCATGAAGAAATGTGTGGAGAATCGTTCAAAGAGTGGTTTTCAAACACCCTACCAAAATTAGAAGATAACTGCATTATTATTCGAGAAAGCTGGAAAAAATATCTACGACGTCTAAAAAAGGTGATATTTAAAAATGGCTATAAGGGAAAAAATTGAATTCGACTACCAAATGCTTAAGATCCAACTTCTAAAACTTGGTAAGTAACATAAACATTATGATAGGTATGTAATAGATGAAATGGCTAAGCAGCAAAACAACATAATACCTCACATGTGTCCGTATCATTGTGAACTTAACCCTATTGAATTAATCTAGGTTGACGTTAAACAATACGTAGCAGATAAAAACTCAACATTTAAATCTAGAGACATTAAAATTCTTTTTGAAGAAGTAATATTATTAATTTCTCCAGAAAAATGGAAAAAGTGTATCGACCATGTTCGCCAAAAAGTTGAAGTAAAAATGTGGGAGTTGGATAATATTATAGAGGTTCAGGTAGAACCACTTATAATTTTGATTAATGAAGATAGCCTTTCAAGTCTAACTAATTTATCCGATTCAGAATAGTGCTAAGTCAAGGTACAAGTTGTCTAATCTAAATACTAGTAGAACAATAAAGAACAAAAGTTATCAAAAATACAAAAGGTTTCTTTTTAAGATGCACAATTTTAAATCAAATACCAAATTCAAATACCAACTACCTCTTATATTTAAAGTTTTTTTAATGCTTTTAGTAGATATATATATTAGCTATTAAAGAATTTGCAATTATTTGGACACCCTGTACAATATAATTTTATAATATGATTGTTTTAATGCTCTGTATCACAGTAGACATATGTAATGAACTAAATATAATGCAACCATCTCTTTTAAAGTCAAATACATTTATTAATTTGTATTGCAGGTTAACGCAGTTTATGTCGCTCACCTATCTTCGTCCAGAAATGTCACTAAAGTCTGGGAGACCGTGTATGGCATTTATTTTATAGTTTTACTTTACAAAATATGTTTTTATCGTAATAAAAAAATAATTTCACAATTACACTCTTTTATTTTACATTTTTGCAAGACGGAAAAGTAAAATACGGCCCTGCTCAATTTTAGCGTCCACCTGCTTCTGTTTACATTAAGCGTAAATTAAATTTGAATAGACTTTAGCAGTTTATTCAATCAAAGAATTTTATGAGGCTGATTTAAGTAATTTTGCAACACGAAAAATTTCTTAACTAAAATGTCAAGTTGACGTCATAGAAAACGTAATGTATATATAAATTTTATTGTTTTCTGATATTTGACGATGCTAAAAACTGCTGTGAGTTTATTTAAGCAAATAAAGTATATTCTATTCTATTATTTCAAGTCATATACACACAACAAAACTTATATGGAATAACTCTGTATTTCTGAATTAAGGAAAAAAATTGGTGTCCAACTTTAAGATGTTTTTTGTTCTAAACAAACAAGATAATAAAGAAGAATTTTTTGTAAAATCACGATTCCTCGGTAATTTTATTTCGGTCCAAAAAACAAAAAAAATGCCTTATGTTGGACTAACAGATATGCAGAGGGGAAGAATTATTGCTTTCGCTGAACAAGGAATGCCCCAAGGAGATGTTACGGAGATACTATGCGTTACCCAAGATGTATCGAAAACATATGCAAAGTACTTGGAACTAGAAATTCTCAAGCACAGAGGCCCAGGCAAAGTCGTCAAAGAGTCACAACTGAACAACAGGACCGCTTTGTATGCCAAATTGCTAGAAGAAATCCCAGTAATTCTCATCCAGAGTTGCAATAACAACTTCTGTAAGTTACAGGTGTGTACGTTTCAGTTGAAACCATAAGAAAAAGACTGCGTTCGGGGGTTGTACAGCGCAGGAGAGAGTTACGGGTCCCATAGTTATCTAGGAAAAATAAAATTGGTGCCTTCAACACCAAAACTAGACAATTGAGAATTGGAAAAATGTTCTTTTTTCGGATGAAACAAGAATTGGCCTAAGATCAGATGACCATCGAATTCGGGTTCTCAGAGCTCCAGAAAGACGAGCAAGACTCCAGGCTGCCACATATCAAGGATGAACTGTAATGTTCTGGGGAGGTATTGTGCTGGAAGCAAAAACCCCATTGTTACTTCAACAAACTTTAACCGGTTGATTTAGTGCTAGAACCAATTGTTAGACTTTGGAGAGCTGCAATGGGAGATAATTTTATCTTCATGCACGATAATGCACCTCCCCATACCAGCAGAGTGGCTATAGAATGTTTTGAAACGGAAGATGTCACAGTTTTAGACTGGCCTGTATGTTTAGACCTAGATACTAGTGAACACTTGTAGGACCATCTCAAAAGATAGGTTAGAGCACGTCGAAAAAATGCAGGATATGTCGAACAGCTTATTGATGCAGCATCAGCAGAATGGGAATGTTGACAATTTACTAAGAAGCTTGCCAAGGCGAATAGAAGCTGGCATAGAGGCCTAAAGTTGCAACACGGATTTTTTAAATTATCAATTTTCTTTTTGTTTTTTGCTTTTTGCCCATCAAAAATTTAAATCTCATTTTGTTTCAGAAACAAAAAAAAATACCGTTGTGGTTATTTTGTCAACAAATTAATTTTTTATTGCTGTGGGTTTTTTTTATTAAAAGTATTTGGACAAAAAATGTTCATACATCTCAAAAATTATGAAAAATAATAGATGATTCCGTATAAGTTTGGTTGTGTGTATTTTATACCATAAAATGTGAAAAACTTACTGAAGATGGGTCCGGTTTATCAGGAAACCTAGAAGCACAAACCAAAAATATATCCGGAGCGGGCTTCCCATGCTTAACATCGGGATCAGTACTACCACACACGATATGCTGAAACAATTTAAATAAATCCTGATGGGGCTTCGTTTTCAGCTCCATGCTTTCTTGCGACGATGACGTAGCCACTGCGACAGGCACTTCGTTTTTGTACAGGTGCTTAACGAGTTCTCTAACGCCGGGTAATAGAGGCGGGTTAGTCAGTTCAGTCATTTGTTTTTTCTTGTAGATCGTAAGGAATTCTTGAGGAGTTATCGGTAGACCGAGTTCTTCGACTACTATTTTCGCAGTGTCTTGTTCGGGCGTACCAAGCACTTTTACTTTGCAGTCGTCATTATATTCTTTGCCGTAGACCATCACGATGTCGTTTATAATTTTGTCGTAGAATGATTCTGATTCTAGAAAAGGTAAATTGTGGGGTCAGATTTTATAAGGAAAATCTAATTGATAAAAAAAAGTATAGTAGACGAAACCGAAATGAAAATGCAAAAATGTATGGGTCGATTCCGAGACAATCTATAACATCTGTAAACCAAAATCTGTAAAAAATTACATTACATTACTATATCTTACAGATTCTGTAGCTTATACGATATTTCCCAGATTCCTACCATGAGTGGTGTGAAAACCTCAAAAAACTGTCATTTCTTAAAAAATAGTGGAATGGTCTAATTTTTTTTATGGTGATTTGGAAAATATGATAGTTCAAAATATGATTGTCCACCTTTGAAACTTACCAACAAGGATCTCTCCGGTTGTGGTAGTTAATAATAATATAATAATTGAACGGGTGGCACTCGCCTTTACTCGCACACGTGGGTTTTAACGACTGTAGCACAGGTAGAGTTAGTTGTTTCTTAATAAAAAAACGAAGGACCAGGATTTCTTCCAAACATACAAACGTGAACAAATCAACAGAACTTGAGAGTTTAATACAGATGCTTAAAAATGCAATGGAATGCGTGAAATTACTTTTTATTAGATGTGATGTTTCAATGACTTTTTTGGGACATCTTTTTCCTACTGTTTTTTTTATATAAAGGTGTAACCTAGTAAACAGTAAGGAGTCTATAAGGGAATAAAATAAATAACAATTAAAACTAAGTATTTGGGACCAAAGAGTTTGGCACCAAACAATAATATTTGTACAAATGAAAAATAGTATAGTACGTTAAGCGAGATTTAGCCTGTGGCTACTCTTGCATTTAACCTTTGGAGTAAATAGTAACATAAAAAGAAATTAAATAATTGAGATTTAAGTACAGACGTGGAAATAATGTATTAGGCATACCAAACAAATGAATTGCTAGTGGAAAGGTCTGGCATATCTAAGGGTTGCGACAAACGATGTCTGTATTCTATCTACTATACGTAAAATCATGAATAATGTATTACATTTAAATATTTTATGTCAAACACAATAAAAATAATATTTAAAAACCCGCTTATACATTTCTTCATAAATTGGCAGGCTCGGCGACTACTATTTCGAATAAAAATAGCGTCCAAGATGCAAGACTATGTCGCTACCCCCTTAGATATACAAGAACTTCCTACTGGCACTTATTGTTTGACAGGTCATTGAAATGCCTAATTAGTGCAGTAAAAAAAATAATTATGTGCAATAATAGCAAACTAAGATAAAGTTGGTATATATATTGTAAAAACAAGAATTAATAAATTAATTACAATTATTACGTAGTTAACAGCTTTTAAATTTTTTTTTAAAGTTTTCAGAGATGACGCTGTTTTCACTGTTATTGCTGTTATTAACAGTAAATTTATTAAAAAAGGGAAATAATACCAACTCAAATGTGATTAAGACGTAAAATAACAAAAAAAAAACAATATGTCACAAAATACTAGCGATCATTTCCCGTCTGAAACCAAATAATAATCGCTTTGACTAATACCGCAACAGGTAGTGAATTACATCCAAAGAAAAAACCGGTTGAAATTTACTTTCTATCTCTGCTGTCTTTCCTTTGGATACAACTCAATACCTGTTGCCGAATTACCCAAGGGAGTAGTTGTTTTCCGAATGAAAACGGTCGCTCGTATTTTTTATAATTTTACTATTGTAAAAATCAGCAAAACATAAAACATATTTATTTTAAATTAAAAAACGCTACTGAATAAAAGAAGCTGAAGAAACGCATCGTAAAAAACGTTGAACGGATTTGCCCAGTTATGAAATTGATTCAGCACTTGTTATCTAAGTATTTGTCTGCATCTTGTCACAACTATAGATCTGTAATATTTTGTTCTGAATTGCTATCGGAATTTATCCGCTTTTGAAACTTACATTAAATTTTAATGTGGGTTTTTAATTTGATCTGTCCACTTTTGGTTTTTATTTGTACACAGAGGTAGTTAGATTGCAGTGTCATCAAATAAGGCGAAACTTTAAAAATGTAATTTGTCCGGTTTTGAATCTAAACGCTTCATATTATGATATAAGCGGTTTATTTAAATTGTTTTTGCAAATTAACTTTGTGTTAACCTAAAAATTTAAAATCGTTACGCGACCATCAAATTTACAATATGGCCCGCTGACTATGACACTTTCGCGCATACTAATAATGTGACGTTATTGTACTCTACTGCTGCAACAGGGTCTACCTATGTTATAACAAGTATTAAAATTTTAAAAACCGACTTCAAAATTGTGCAGGTGCCATCACCATATCTTGACCAAATTTATATGGGACCACCCTTAAATTGAGGTAACCCCTTACTAACAAAAAAATATAGAAATCGGACAAGGTAGTAAAGAATTATCGCTAAACATACATAAAAAATGAAGAGATTGAGGATTTTCTCATGGACCCGATTATTAGATTTTGACCAAATGTACCTATATATATGGGACCATCTCTGAAGTATCCTCTTTCTAACAAAAAGAATCATTGAAATCGGACACCATGTTAAAGAATTATCGCTGAACATACATAAAAAAAATATTCCGACCTTTTTTGAAGTTGGTTAAAAAATAATGTCATTAATTTGAGTCCAGGAAGTGATTTATGAGACTCGCAACCTTGAAAAAAATCAAAATTTACGTCTTTACAATTCATAATCTATATTTATTAACTCAAACCATTATGAAAACATTAACAAATGAACATTATTTTCCTAATTATGAATAATAATGTGTAATTATGAATTTCCTGATACAGCAAAATTGGTCTCCTTGTTGTAAAAAAATCATCTTTGAAATGGTGTTTCCTTTTCGCTGGAGCATTTGAATAAAATGTTGGCCGTTTTGAACCATGCGGGTAACTGTTATGTCACTTATTCATCTCAGGATATATAAAGATCTGTTCCAGCATAAACTAGATTAACGGTTTCTTTAATCTATGCATTTTCAGAGTCTGTCCAGCATTTGAGCAAAACCCCGCATTTGTCTGGAAAACGCTATATTTTTTCAGCAAAACGCCATTAATAGGTATTTTCCTTTGCATCGAAAGTGTAGCACTGAGCTACGTCACTTCTGAGAATATCGTTCTATCCATACAATTTGTATAAATGGAACGATATTTTCAGAAGTGGTGTAGCTCAGTGCTACACTTTCGATGCAAAGGAAAAGACCTATTGTCCAGCAATGTAATACATAATTTACTGAAACATAACAAATAAAAAATAATACATGATTTCTCTGTTTTTGTATTTATCTCTGAGGAGCTAAAAAAAGGACATCTCTCCAAAGTTCATCAACGTTGTATTCCTGTTCAGAGTCCAGCATTGGGTCCAGAGCTGGGCAGTATTTATATTTATAAAATACTTTTTAGTATTTAAATACTAGGTATTTAAATACTTTTGGATAAGCGGTATTTGTATTTGTAGCTGCAAATACTTTCGTATTTAGTATTTAAATGATTTTTTAAAATATTCAAAATACCTTTTAAGAATTTAAATAATTTTCTGGTATTTAAATACTTTTCCGGTATTTCAATACATTTTAAGTATTTAAATACTTTTCCGATATTCAAATACCTTTTTACGTCAAAAATAAAAAAAAAACATGTGTTTTAACAAGTTTTTTTTTATTAAACCAAATGTGCGAAATAGCCTGGATAAAGTGCTGAAGTATCAGTTCGTATTTAAGCGTTAAGTTGTGACTGTTGTGATTTGTGTTACAAGAAAAAAGAAATAAACCAAGATAAGTATTAGGTCTTTTCCTTTGCATCGACAGTGTAGCACTGAGCTACGTCACTTCTGAAAATATTGTTCCATCCATACAATTTGTATAAATGGAACGATATTTTCAGAAGTGGTGCTACTCAGTGCTACACTTTCGATGCAAAGGAAAAGACCTATTTATTATTATGATTTGTGATTTTACAGTTTTTACCACATACTTTGATTTTCTTTTACTATACGGAGAATGGTCGCACTGCGCAGCTTTCTGAGTGCCTTTTAAAAGGAGATAGAAAACTCCGCCATTTTGAACCCTTATTACGTGTTGCCTACATCTTGGCGCAATATTTTTAATAGGTGCGTTTTAATCATCCGCTTCTACTTCGGAATTGTCGGTTTTCTTGTTTTAATTTGACAAGTTAAAACGACTAAACCGACAATTCCGGAAACAGAAGCGGATGATTAAAACGCACCTGATATTTTGCTTGCGGCTGTCAGTGTCAGTGAATATTATTTTTTGAGTCACAGATTATTTTGCTAAAGAATCAGTTAGCTCACTCGGACCAGTTAAAAGTTTCAAAATAAGATCCACTCCAGGGATACAAATTTAGGATACGCAGAAGACAGCTGTTTTATTATAGGCGGTTGTTATATATTGTATTATCCGAGTTGCGCAGTGTATAAACTGGAACATTGAGATCAAAAGTGCCGACGCAGAGTGAGCGATCTGATTCTTTAGCTATAAACTGTTGCATAGGGTTCAAAATGGCCGGGCCCTATGTTGGGCGTGTCGGACCTCTCTCTTGCGCCGTATAGTAAAGAAAATCAAAGTATGTGGTTTTTACACAGTAGTTAAAAAATGTTAGAGGTTAGAGGTACAGATGGTCAGTTAAAAGTAAGTCTATACAAGAAAGGATATTATAATTTCAAATAAGTCGCGGTTTAAATCACTATACGGATACATTGAACAAGAGTTTACTCAAGAATTTTGTTGTAAAAAATGACAAATTGCACTTCTGTAGGATGACTTAAGGACGAAAAATAGCAAATACAAGAAAAAATATTAAAAGCAGTACTTTAAGCTGATCTAATAAATAGCGAAAGCCGTTTATTACTGGTTTTGATTGGTCAGTTTTGGCTAGATTTGGTTGTTTTTAGTTAGTTTTTGGTTGGTTTACTCCCATATTTTCTCAAACATTTGGTAAAATCGTAAGTTTGAGGTTTAAAACATTTCGTCGTCAATATCACATACTGACGTAACCCGAAAAAATTGAAAATTGAGATAAGTCATAAATATATGTAAAAAAGTATGTATTTCAAGAAATTGCGTATCTCAATTCATTGCATTTTTATTAAAATAGCACGGCGTATCTTACCGGCGAATCTGATAATTTTACGAAGAGACGTAACTTTATGAAAAAACTTTAAAACACTCTCTTGAAAAGTTGTGAAAATCGGATTACGTCACTTCGTAATATTGATGACGATTTAAGAAGCAACATATGCTGCGTTTGAGAATCCACATCGGATGCATTTTTTACATCTCGAGCGTTTTTTTATCCACATCTGACACATCTGTCCCATTACATTTACGTGTACTGAATCACGTGATCAAAGATTTACTACATCTCAGATGCATCCGATGTGGATTCTCAAACGCAGCAATATTCACTCTTTTTACCTTATAAATTGCCGCGTAATACGCATTTTTCTTGCAGAGTACTTATAAGAATGTTCTACAGCACGATTTTATTACCGCTGTTGCTAGGAAGTGTACACAAATCAAAAAATTATATACACGCGAAACGTCATATTGCTGTGGTGGGAGGTGTTTGTGTGAATACGTCTTGTTTGTTTTCATTTACGCCGTGACTAGCAGTAGTATTTTATAAACCTTAGAAGCAAATTTCACATACATGAACAAATAATAATAATGCCGTGACAACAAGAAAACGAAGCAACGACTTCACCGCCACCAGAAAATTTCAGTCCATACCTAGCTACGCCGACCGGCATAAACACTAACGGCCTAGACACAGCTCACCTACTCTGTCAAGACGTTTCGCGTGTATATAACTTTTTGAATTGCGTACAAGTTAGCGTGTACCTAGACACTGTGTTTTATTAACTCGCTTTCCTGTTAGCTTCCAATTAGCTAGAGGCTTTATTTTATTTTTTATATTTTAAACATAGCTCAGAACTGGATGGTAATTGATAATGCAGTTTTAAGTTATCTAAACTAATAAGGTATTTTACCCAGAACTTCTCCTAAGAACTAAATTTGTTCAATGCTGAAGATGTTATCATGTTATTGGAATCAGCTGAAATTTGCTAAACATATCTAAACTCAATCACAATGCAAAATTATGGTGTCCAAGAGTTAAGACGTGTTTGACATATATTCATATATTTGTTTCTTATGTTTCATTCGTGCAGAGTTTTTGGACACCCTGTATATTTTTTTTAACATACCAAATTTTTTAAACGTACTAAAAGAATAAAATAATAGTTTTTCTGTTTTTTATTATTATGCTAGTATTTAAATACTTTTGTGTATTTATCCCAAACAAGTCTTTAAATACTGTAGGTATTTGTTATTTGAATACCTTTTGCTTTAAAACAGTATTTAAGATTTAAATAATCGTATTTATGAAGAAGTATTTAATATTTAAATACTTTTAAAAAGTATTTTGCCCAGCTCTGATTGGGTCAACAGAAATATGATTACCCTACCATAAACCAATAACAGACGAGCTGTTGTTTCCTGAGTAGGTTTAATTCATGTAGGTGATTTGTTTCTTGTTGTAAACAACATTCTTTTTTGTAATTTTTCACTATTCAGTTTAAGGCTATTAGGAGCAAACCAATATTCAGCTTTTTCTTTCAAATGTAATAAATTGTGGATTAATTCATCAAAATTTATATCAGAGTATTGTAAGCATCATCGTCAAAAAGCACACAGTTATGTGGATTAATGTACTGTACAAAATCATTTATATAAATATATTACAAATAGAAGTGGTCCCAAAACCACTCCCTGTGGAACTCCTATATTAATTAAATCTGCATTTGAGAGGTTGCTTTTATAAAAAACTGATTGACTACGATTTTTAAAAAAGGACTTTAACTCCATAATAATACAACTTTTCAAATAAGATGCTATAATGGGAGAAACAGTCGAAAGCCTTAGGTCACATAGAGTAATATCTACATGTTTACATTTTTCAAGGCCCTCGAATATGTCTTCCACTGCATGCAAAACTGCACCAGCAGTTGTTGATTTATTTTGCTGACATTATATAAATTGAATAAGATTTTGGTCACCTTTTTTTATATAACTTTGAACATTCCGAATATGTTTCTTTTATTATCTTACTATTTTGTGAAAATCTGGAAGTATAGTTATCCAATGAACAAATAACTTTCTTTACTTCATCAGGTGTAAAAGGTCTTGGAAAAAAGATATATATGGGACAGGAATCGTTTATAGTCTCAATATCGACATCCAGATAGAGAAGTATCAATGTACTCGTATATGTATCTTATTACCTTATTAGGATATAAGAATACCTAAGTAAGTAAAGATAAAAAGTAAACTGGGTGAGTAAAGGTATATACGAGTAAACAAATAATGTCTTGATACAAAATAGAAAAGAACTTGCTGAAAACAATAGAAAGAAATGTAATTTAATAATCTCTATGCCCATTTCCTAATGTTGTTAATGGATTTCATTTGACAACATATATTTTTTATTAAGAAAAATTACAGTGTTATCAAAAACCTAAAAGAGGCATACCTATATTCTACACAAGTGGGTATTAAAATGAATATATCTATTTCAAAGATCATTTTATATTGCAAATCATATGACAAATTAATCACTAAGCAATGTATTTCAATATATCACGTCAAGTATCTGATAAATAATCAGGAATGTAATTACATATAAAGTAAAATTAAACACTTCAAATCTGTTATACATTATAAGAATGTATATAGGATTAATTGTCTAATGTGAAAACTGGCTAGAAATTCATCAATGCTTTAGTAGAAAGAACATATAAATTACCCTTTAATAAAGAAAATATAAACAATAATAAGTTAATAACAAAACTTTGGCTATGATAGTTCTAAATTCAAGAGATTTAAATTTGTTTATTCAAAATATTTTTTATTCAATTTCTGCTCTAAAATTGAGAAATTAGGGGTCCAAAAATAATAATTAGATAGGTATAATAGGTATATTATATCTTGTACTTACCTATTTTAATTAGGCTTTATATCCCAACTCAAATAGGTACTTTTTGTGAAAATTTGTTCTGAATCTGTTGTTACTTTTGGAAAAATGCTATATCTTACCTATAAGAAGCCCATCCATGTCGAAAATAACGTGAGTCACTTTTTTGAACTGCATTTTTATTTGTCTTCAAAATATGTCTGAATCCAATAAATTAATCAGCTATTAATTATAGATAATCAATATGATTGAGACAAAAGCGAAAAACTCGGTCTAGACTGTCTAAACTCAACGGACTAACCGCACTTCTAATTCTAAAATAAAATTGTCAATTCATTTGGTAATAAATTTTCTTAACCTTGTACTTGTCCGTCCGTGGAGCACATGCGTGCACGTGTGAATTTGCATCATAGGTTTTTTCACTGGAGGAGAAAAAAATGAAATACAATATTAGTTATTACATAATATTTCATTTGTAGAAATCATATTGCATTGACCTGACAAAAATTGGTTCATGTAATTTAAGTTAGTTCACAGGAAATTTTAAAATAAATCAGTGGGTTTTTAAAAATATTTAAACATTTTGACGTTTCTGCACATATGAGGTTAATTGATTTAAAGAGCTAAACCGCCAATCAAAGTTGTTATAGATCAGGTGGGTAGAACGAAGCATTTTCATTCGTTGCCAGAAATACCTATGACTGGGAGTGTCTAGGAAGACGATCGTGCGTAATTGTTATAAAATAGTTACATGAAATATTAGTGGTTTATTTTTGCCTAGGGTTACCAGACTTCCGGATTTTCCCGAACATGTGCGGGTTTTTACTACGTCCGAGTGTATCCGGGCGGATTTTGCATAAGCGTCCGGATTTTAAAATAGTTATCTTTAGCAACAAAAAAAAAAAGAAAAAAAATCAGAAAAATGACGTCAATAGAAATCGTCGATAAACGCTGTAGTGTAAAACCCCCCACCTACTTTAATAACTTTCTATAGCCTCTAGATAGATTATTGTCAATACTAATGCTGCGTTTGAGAATCCACATAGGATGCATCTGAGATGTAAAAAATCTTTGATCACGTGATTCAGTATACGTAAATGTAATGGGACAGATGTGTCCGATGTGGATAAAAAAACGCTCGAGATGTAAAAAATGCATCCGATGTGGATTCTCAAACGCAGCATTAGTACTTTATTTAAACTTTCTCAGTATAGGGTTGCCACCTTTTTAAAAAGTGAATAAAGGACTACGGTATACAAAAAGTCCTCATCCTTCTACTGAACTTTGAGAAATGTCTAAGGGCCGATTCCACCGTTGTGTTAAATGGAGATTAAAATGACATATTGTTAATGTAAAAATGTCAATTTAAACTTCGTTTAACAAAACGGTGGAATCGGTCCTAAATAACTTAAACTATCATAAACGTTTATGTTTATTTATGTCGCGAAAATAAATACGTGTTCTTCTAACCCTTAAAACAATGTCAATGACCTATTTGACAGAACTGATGCCATACTTAAGAGGTTATAAAATTAACTGAAAAAGGCTATTATCATTAAATTTCTTGTTATACCAGATCACGTGAGTTAGGCGTTTTGTTGACTCGTTTATTACATGCACTAAAGGTCATTTACAAACTTTCAGACATTTCCAAAAATTGTATAAATCCGACTGTTGGTAAATTACGCCACTACCACATACAATCTGTCAGATTGAAATTTTAAATTTTGTTCGTTTTGTTTACCTAAATTATATCGTTTTTTTCACTTTTATAAATATATTCCTAAAGTAAGTAGATAGCATGTATCAAATATACAATCGTTTAGTTACCAATTACATACCTTTAAACTATTTTTTATGACCTGTAAACAATATTTTGAAATAAAATAAAAACAGTAAAAACGTATAGGTATGTCAAATTTATTGATGTTTCTGTTAAAAGTTTGGTTAGAATTAAATGTCAGTGGAACCAAAATGACATCAGACTGAACTAGCGCATAAATCTAGAATTTTATATGATCCTATCTATTAAAAATAACAATTATTATATAATTTAATTAAAACAATTGTGCCCTTTCTATTTTTAACCCATTTTTCCGTTTATTTATGAGAATGGGAATTGTTTTGGTAAAAAAGATAAAACAAAATTTAACAAACTTTATTATTCATTCTTAAACAATAAAAGGAAGAATATATATAGGATATTAATTGATAAGTATTTGGAAGTATTCAATTTTATTTTCAAGCTCCCAACTGCTTGTACAAGATTGGAACATAATCATCAAATTCAGCCTGGTACAAATTGCCAGCAATGGGTTGTCCCAAATTGTATTTTGCTGCAAACTTTTTAATAGAGAATTTTGCACGCCCATCTCCAGATTTATTGGTCAACTTCTGTTCGGTGAAACTAATTTTTCCAGGTTGTTTGTAAACAAGAAACACATATCGGTGAAGTCCAGTACCTTTTGGAGGCCCAGATCCGACGTACTCAGAGAGAACGTCTCCCTTTGAAATATCACCGCCGGGGACGTTTCCTACCAACCAATGATGCCATTCCCTGAATTTTGGATCATTTCTGCTAGGAGCGTCAGGATCTGTCATACAAATCGTGTATAGGGAATCTGCTTCAGCCGGCCATTTTAAGGTTGGGACATCTTTTACTTGAGTCGGTGTTAGTACGGTACCAAGTTCAGGTTGTGCTCCACTGGGATAGCAAACTTCTAAAACTTCTTTTGGAGCAACATCGATGACGTCTGGTACAACGCAATGTTTTTCCATATTTTTTAAAACAGTTGAGTAAAATCGTCCAAAATTCACAGCCGACCTTCTAAAAGCAGAAAATAACATTCTAGAAACTTTGAAACAAAAACAAACCGGGTGAACAGGGTGGCCACCACTATTTATTAGTTTTAGGCATTTTTTGATGATTCACTATTGGTGTCATAATATAATAATAATAATAATACTCTCCCTAATTCACCCCCTTACGAGTGAATTTTAACCCCAAAAGCTGAGCTTGTGCGGGGAAAGGGACGGCCATTATTAATTTTTGCCGTGGCGCTCCGGGGCGACTTAAAGATGATTGATGGTGCCATTTGACTTACAGGTGAGGAAAACCCGGAAAACCTCATCCACCATCATCGAGACGGTAATGTATGGCGATTTTTTATAATCTGCATGTCATATCAACAGAAATTGAATTTCTATTAATACGGCACACATCAAATCCTATACCGAACCATGCAATTTAATTAAAAATCCACATGGTCTGGTCTGGGATTCGAAGCCCAGCAGTCTCTGACACATAAACTTGCTTATAAATGAATATAAGCGCGTTAGACCGCTACACCACCGGCCCGACATTATTTTTAAAGAAAATAGATTACATATTAGATTTATTGCGGGACTCTGTTGCTAAAGGAATTTCTTTAAAAGCTTACTACAATATACATACTTGGTTACAGTATTGTGGTAAGTGTTCTGTGATTGTGGTTACTGTAGGGTATCTGTAGGGATGCGGAAATTTTTTAGAACATCGATGTTGACATCAAATGATACATCAAATACAGACTATCGATATTGTAAAAAAATGGCAAAAGAAAATATCGATTTTTCTACATGCGATGTTTGTTTTTCCGTACATCGACGTGTCTGTAAACATCGAAGTTTTCCAAAAACTTTAATTGAAGAGCAAAAAAAAGGAATAACGCTTAACAAAAAAGAATTCAAACCAACAATTGAAACGTGACACTTATCCAAAAACCAAAAAACATTGAAAAGAAAATCATCGATGTTAACAAAAAACATCGGCTACTGTACTGAGGTAACCAGCTCTCTATATAAGTATGTATAAGGACCGATTCCACCGTTGTGTTAAACGGAGATTAAAATGACATTGGTAATGTAAAAATGTCATTTTAAACTTCGTTTAACACAACGGTGGAATCGGTCCTAAGTCTATGAACTATTTAAATTCTTTCATTTTGTAGTAACATTCGAACAAATCAGATATTCTATCACAAATCAGTTTCAAATTCAAAACTACCACAAATTCTAGATGTTAACCCTATAATAGGCGAATAATGTGTTAAGTTTGTACCAGAACTACTTAAGGATTCCTTCAACGGTTAAATAAATTTTTCTCTTAAAAAGGTCTTGAGTGCCAAGGATCAAGGATTTCTCATGGTTCGACTACAAATTCCAATATTGTCGCCAAGAATATTTGATCTATGACGTTTTAACGTCAAATCTTATTTTCGTCGTCAGGAAATGCCTAAAAACAGTAATTTTCTAGTTCTCTTGGTAATAGTTACAGTTCCATGTCACTCACCATAGAAAAATAAAAAGTCACTCACTGTCAATAGTAGTGTCAATTTAATTGACGATTCATTTGGAAGGACTTTTTATTTACAATTTTTAGTTTAGTGTTTAGTTTTTTTCCATGGTTCATGATCAGCAATTAGTCTGACCGTTTTTAGACAAATTATTACCCATCACGGATTGTTCATGAATATTTATATCTGCATGTTCATTTCAAATTGTTTATAAAGTGCGGCTCATAGAAAGTGCGGCTAGTACTGTTGTGTTTACCTTCACTGGCACTGACTGGAAGGTCCGGAAAAGTTGTCCTTAACCCGCTTATCGCAGACTATTATATTTAATCTTATACATTTTTTTTGGTTGTAAAGAGAATAGTCTTATCAAGTTCCTCTATTGAATTAAGTATCTATTGTACGATTTGTTTGTTCAAAATAAAGTATTCAGTTTGTAGTGGTAGTTGTTTGAATCATGTACAGATCGTACTTTAGAGTGTTGAGTGAATTGGGGAAACGACGGTTTTCTACTGAGTCGTCTCCAGTAGTGAAAGTAATAAACTTCCTTTTTTATCTATCAGATTAATTGATAATTATGTTTATTACATTTTTAGACAAGTTTACAGCAAGAAAATGTCCTAACCGATCTTTTTAGCAGGCACCACACATATCTACGAATTTCTTTAACAGAAAAATGTAATTTAAGATGTAATTATTTAATGGTTATTTTAATTTTTCTATTCTAAATGTCACACTTGCAGGTCAGTATTGCATGCCTGCAGAAGGAATAAAATTATCTGAAAAGTCAAAATTATTAACTACAGATGAAGTTTTAAAAGTAGCAGAGCTTTTTGTAAAAGAAGGGGTCACTAAAATAAGATTAACAGGTGGAGAACCAACAATTAGAAGAGATTTAACTGATATTATTTGTAAGTTGATGAAATTTATTGCTAAATAAAATCGTTTTTCAACAAATACAATTTTTAGATAATTTAAAAAAAATTAATGGTCTAGAAGTAGTTGCAATAACCACTAACGGCCTGGTTCTTACTAAACAACTTGTTGCTTTACAAAAAGCTGGTTTGGATATTTTAAATATAAGTTTGGATACTCTTAAGCCAGATAGGTATGAAATTATGGCACGTCGAAAGGGTTGGCAAAGGGTGATGATGGGAATCGATTTAGCCTTACAATTGGGGTACAATCCTGTTAAAGTAAATTGTGTAGTTATGAAAAGTAAGTAAATGTTAACATTATTTTCTGTATTTTTAAATAGTGTATTATTTTTTGTAATTCATTTCAGAGGTATTTATACATAGACAAAATATATAATACCTACCTAACTAATTTTTTTATATTTTTCAATATGGAAATGTTTATTAATTTTATTTATATTATGGTAGATATAATTGTACATTTAAGCAAATAATTGCAAGAACAGATTCACAGAGAAGCCCACAGATTATACTTTACACTCTACAATGTTCTGATCAAAATTTGTTCAAAAGTAGTCAAAGTATTCCAGTCTTTTTCATAACGAGTCTGTTCTTTAAAATGCACAATTTGACCAAAATAATGTATTAAACTGTTGAGAGATCGTAACAGTGTTTGTGAAAATCATGCAGAACATTACTATTAAGACCCCCTACCCAATACAATAGGACATTTAGATCCTAATTTTATTGTTCGGAGCTCTGTAATTACAAATAATATATAAATTGTTAATCTTACTAAAAATCTGGTGTATCCAACTCATGATTTTCCTGCCATGCCTAAAAGTATTATTGACTTTTTTCCATTTATTCTGTAAATGTTTAGAGGATGAACTAAATACATAAATTTTCCACATACATCTTACTTGAAAATCTTTTTATATACGAGTTGTCTACTTGGAAAACCGGCCATATCCAAAAATTTTCAAAAATAATTTTAAAGTGCGATAGTATACTATGAAATAAGTTTTATTGCATGTATATTACGATTATATCATAAGCGACTCTATCTGACAAATCTGTGCCCAAATATTGGGATGTATTGCAAATCTGGCTACACCTAACAATGTCCATCCAAATTATTGAATTAATCAACAATGAAATGTTCTCAGAATTTGTCTGAAGAAGATATATGTGTGATGTTCCCAAAGAAATACCACAATCCAATATTTAAATAACAGAACACAATTCATTAGGAGTTATTTTAGATAAACAATTAAGATTTATTGAACATATAAATTCCATTTCAATAAAATTAGCCCAATGGGTTAGGGTTAATATTGCATAACTGTTCTGATTTCTCTCTAGAAGCCATAAAAAAAGTTTATCAAGCGTTGGTTGTACCTCAGTTGGAGTATGCTTCTATAATTTGGTCGCCACAATATCATATACACTGTTTAGCAGTGGACAGAATACAAAGTAAATTTCTAAGATACTGTGCCTTCAAATAAAATATTCGGGTAATCGATCACAATTATACTAGGATTTTAAATGAAATGAATATGAGCTGACTTAAATTATTAAATGGTCTAGTCATATGCCCGAAACTCTTAGAAATGATTTCTTTCAATATTCCTAATAGAGTCCTTAGGCAATTAAATATGTTCCATTTCACAATACAAACTGTGGCATGCATTTGCCTATTGAAAGAACATTGAGAGTAATAAATCAATTGAATCTTGAGGTTACAGGCTTTCTTTTAATAAATTTAAGGCAATCTGTACAAATACACTGGAGTAAAAATGAAATATTTCAGATGGATTTACAATACTTAAAATGCATTTATTATTCCAAAACTTATTTGACTTAATTTTAACTTTTTTTTTCTCTTGTATTTTTTGATTTAATTTATAATTTACAATTATCTGTATCATTTATATGTGTTTTGCTTTGTAATGGGGGTTGATCCCGTTTAAATAAGTAAATAAACTTTTTTAAAATTGTCAAAAATTTTAGTTTTTTTTTTCAAAATGTTCTCAATTTTTCCAGATGTTTAAGTTTCGGTAACTTTATTTTATAATACTAAATATAGGTGTATTAGAACCACATTTTCCATTTTATTTATAAAACTTGAAAAAAAGGACAAAAAAATTAATTTCTATATTTTTATAGTATGATCTAAACATTGTGATCTAAACTTTAAATTTATATACCATCTTGATTCTTGAAATAGGATTTTTTTAAATTGTCCCTAAAATTGTCTAATACAATGTAACATATCTACATATTCAAAAACGAATATTTCCTTCAAAGTTAGGAATATTGATATTTTTCCTAATATCTCAATATTTTCTAAAATGGATGTATCAATTACAAGTAGTTTTTACAGTTTTTACAAGTATACGAGTATATTAATTGCTAAGGAAAGTACTGAAAAATTAAAATTTTCCACTTTTCCTCAAACCCTTCCAATACGGTCCATTTTAAAACATGTATTGAATAAAAATTATAGAGAATGACATCACGCAACTTTTATTTGGCGAATTTTATTCTCAAAGCATAAATAACATATATTCTTTAAAATAGAAAAACAACCCTTTATAAAGTATCCCCCCAGATGCCCCGACTATGCTCAAGATCTAATCAACTCTTTAGAGGACGGATTAAAACTTAAGTTTAAAATTTGGTGTTTTTATCTCTATCTGTTTTTGAGTTATCTTCAAATTTCGAAATTTGCACCTTTCCACAAATATCTTGAAGAAATTTCTTCTCTAAGCATAAATAACGGATATATTCTATACTTTCCTTATCTGTACACAGACAGGAAAGTAAAAATTATTAATACTTCAATGTCTGGGTATGCTTGGTTTAAAGATTTAGAATTAACTAGATCACTGGTATACAAAACAACAACCATCCTAAAACTGTTCCTTGGGGAATCCCACTATTTACAGGATAATTACAGGAATGTTATTTTAGTTTATGCAATACAGAGTGATGAATGAAAAGGGATCTGCATCAATAGAATTGATTGATTAGTTTTTAAATTAAAAAATATTCTGGGAGACTGCAGTACCTATAGTTTTGTATGAAATATTTTTTGTTGTAACTTACTAAGCTATTTTAATTTTGAAATTGATTATAGTTGGATAATTTAATACTAGTAATTTTATTACCTAAATTATCTCTCACTCTACTTTCTGGTCTTAGTTTTCTGCCACAATTATTCAGTTCTTGATTGATGTGTAGGCATTTTATTGAAATCTACAACTCTCATCAATCCATCTCAGCCTTAATAATTTTTTTCCTATTTGTGCAATACAGAGTAATTAATCAAATAGGATATGCATAAATTGAATTGAAAAATTAGTTTTTAAATTAAAAAATATTCTAGAAGTATCTATCTACAGTTTTTTCATAAAATATTTTTTATACCAACCTATCACTTGTATAATTTAATTTTAAAACTAATCATTATTTGAATGTTTGTATTTACATAATATACCTAACGTAAATAGTTAGTCAACTGTGAATAAACTATTATCATCTAAACTTAGTCATATGTCATATCATTGTTTACTAACCTCTACCAGTAATTTGATAGATATATTTAATTTTTATTGTATTTGTAAATAATTCAATTAATTCATTACGTATTTATATTTTTTCCCAATAATTCCGCAAAACCAATATATGAATATCTTAACCATATGATGTAATATATTACATTTTTAATCTCAATGTTCAAATCATATCCAACATTAAAAAAATATGAAAATCTGGTTTTTATTGTAGATTTTAATGATGATGAAATACTCGATTTTGTGGAATTTACCAAAGACAGAAAAGTTGACATTAGATTCATTGAATACATGCCTTTCACTGGCAATAAATGGGAGGTGGACAAAATGGTTTCCTATAAAGATATGGTTACTAAAATACGCAAAAAATGGGCAGACTTTGCTCCTTTACAAAATGGCCCCAATGATACTTCTAAGGTAAAAATCCTTCAATAGTCCATATTATATTTGTTTAGGACTTTTTAAATTAGATTTAATTGATTTATGACAACAAATAATTTTAATAAGTTGTTACTATTATTTTCATTTTCTCATGGAAAACGACAGTTACATAGGGTCCAGACATATTTTTTCCTTGTACACGCTATTTAGTGTGACGCAATTTATACTTGACTTTTAAAAACAAACTATATTCTGTCACTAAAATTGACAATTATTAGTTTTTGATTAAATATTGTTTACAGGTCATAAAAAGTAATTTAAAGGCATGCAACCAAATTATTTTTATTATTTAAATGAATACAATCTTAAAAATAAAATAAATAACATGTTAATGAATTTAGGTGCCCTGTAACAAAACTTTGATAGCTAATTTTCTAATATATTTTTGGCGATACCTGTGCACCAGGTTTATTACCAATTTTTCTATTTCCAATTATATTTATGGGTTTGGAACGATACATATAACTTATGATTTGAGAAAAGCACAGAAAAGTATTATTGTGGTTAAATAATGCAAATCTTAAAATATTGTTAATTATCTAATGGAGAGGCTGACAGTAGTGATGGGCAATCCGGATCTTTTTAAAGATCTGGGTCAACGAATCTGGCTCACTTGAAAGATCCGGATCAGTGAGTCGAGTCTCGGTCCAGTTGAATCTTTAAATATTGTATGTTAGTTCATATTGCGTTTATCATCAGCCCCATCCGTTGACATAATTTATAGTAACATAAAATATGTTCCAAGCTGAACATTGACTAGGTAACTAAACCTGTATTAATATTTGAAATGTTTCTTACATATTATTTACATTTTTTTTTGTTTCTGCATCTATAAAATGATTTCAATACTTCCCTTTAGAGACAACTAAAAACAATTACTTGCATACAAACAAAATATCTACTAAATAAGAAGTATATTCAAGGCGAAAATTGCACAATAAATTATTGTGATATGCCCTACTGCTGAATGATCCTAGATTCAATTTTGTCAATAAATAGTAATTGAAGCTGGAATCCGTGATCCACACTGTAATTAATATATTGAGAGTCGGGTCAGTCAACTCTTTAAAGATCCGGCTCACTGAATTGGATCGGATCCGATCTGCCCATCACTAGCTGACAGAACCTGGATCTGCTAGCAGTGGTTGTCCAGAACAAAAGAGTGCAGTACGATTTGCATACATGGATTTGTTCCAACAACGACCAGAAACAACTCATTGACCATCAGAATTTGCGTAGTAGATTGTCAACTGCTCTAAATAATTTACAGCACAGTGTCCTGATGGTCAGTGATTCACATAATGTATACCTAACTCATTGATCCTGAATAGAGCATACACATATAGAAGTTTATTAGATTCTGCTTATATTTTCAACATTTATATTTGTATTCCCATTAAGAACCATTCTTTTTTAAAGGCCTGGAAAGTGCCCGGTTTCGAAGGTCAGGTGGGTTTCATAACTTCCATGAGCGAACATTTCTGCGGTTCCTGTAACAGACTAAGGATTACCGCTGACGGTAACCTCAAGGTCTGCTTGTTCGGCAACACTGAGGTGTCATTGAGAGACGCCATTAGAAACAATTGTTCGGATGATGATTTGACAGCTCTGATTAGCGCAGCTGTTAAAAGGAAGAAGAAGCAGCATGCTGGTAAGTCGTCTTGTGGAATAGTTTGGGTTAAGGTGTTGGATGGAGGTGATTTTGTTATAAGGATTTGAGCTCATATTACTCTTTTCATAAAAAGGTCTTTAAATTTACCTCATTTTATCGAGGACAGTTTTGATAAACACCCTGTACCTATATGTGTTTCATGGTTAATGGAGAAGCAAGTTCTACTCGCTTTGGAATATTCAACTTTTTTAAATAATTTTTTAGTAATATACTGATTAATTTTTAGAACGCTTGTTTTGTAAGAACTCTAAAAATATCTATGTAACATTTACATCTAATTGGATAAATCGAGTTTTTTCGAGTTCTAAGGTAGTAAAAATCGATTTTTCCGAATTTTAAGTCGGGATAATTTATTTTTCCAAGTTCTAAGTCGGAATAATCTATTGTTCCGGGTTTTCTGTCGGAATAATCTATTTTTCCGAGTTCTAAGTCTTAAAATGAATCGTTTTTTCCGAATTCTAAGTCAGAAAAACCGTATTTTTCCGAGTTCTAAGTCGGAATAATCTATTTTTCCGAATACTAAGTTGGAATAATCTATTTTCCGAGTTCTATCTGGGATAAATCAAGTTTTTCCGAGTTCTAAGGTAGTAAAAATCGATTTTTCCAAATTCTAAGTCGGGATAATTTATTTTTCCAATTTTTAAGTCGGAATAATCTATTGTTTCGGGTTCTCTGTCCTAATAATCTATTTTTCCAAGTTCTAAGTCAGAAAGAATCGTTTTTCCCGAGTTCTAAGTCAGAAAAATCGTATTTTTCCGAGTTCTAAGTCAGAAAAATCGTATTTTTCCGAGTTCTAAGTCGGAATAATCTATTTTTCCGAATACTAAGTTGGAATATTCTATTTTCCGAGTTCTATCTGGGATAAATCAAGTTTTTCCGAGTTCTAAGGTAGTAAAAATCGATTTTTCCAAATTCTAAGTCGGGATAATTTATTTTTCCAATTTCTAAGTCGGAATAATCTATTGTTTCGGGTTCTCTGTCCTAATAATCTATTTTTCCAAGTTCTAAGTCAGAAAGAATCGTTTTTCCCGAGTTCTAAGTCAGAAAAATCGTATTTTTCCGAGTTCTAAGTCAGAAAAATCGTATTTTTCCGAGTTCTAAGTCGGAATAATCTATTTTTCCGAATACTAAGTTGGAATATTCTATTTTTCGAGTTCTAACTTGGAAAAATCGAATTTTTCCGAGTTCTAAGGTAGTAAAAATCGATTTTTTCGAATTCTAAGTCGGGATAATTTATTTTTCCAAGTTCTAAGTCGGAATAATCTATTGTTCCGGGCTCTCTGTCGAAATAATCTATTTTTTCTAGTTCTAAGTCAGAAAGAATCGTTTTTCGAGTTCTAAGTCAGAAAAATCGTATTTTTCCGAGTTATAAAGTTGGAATAATCTATTTTTCCAAATACTAAGTTGGAATAATCTATTTCCGAGTTCTAACTGGGATAAATCGAGTTTTTCAGAGTTCTAAGGTAGTAAAAATGGATTTTTCCGAATTCTAAGTCGGAGTAATTCATTTTTCAAGTTCTAAGTCGGAATAATCTATTTTTCCGGGTTCTCTGTCGGAATAATCTATTTTTCCGAAAACTAAGTTGGAACGAATCGTTTTTTCCGAGTTCTAAGTGAGAAAAATCGTATTTTTCCGAGTTCTAAGTCGGAATAATCTATTTTTCCGAATACTAAGTCGGAATAATAATTTTTTTTCGAGTTCTAAATCGGAATAATGAATTTTGGCGGGAAGATTTAAATATAGAGGAATACTATTTATAACTGCATGCGGCCATCGACGAATTACTACAAGTAATACACATTACATTTTTCTTTATATTTCCATTATGTTTGTAACATTTTTTTCTTGTAAGGCACAATATTTTTCTCCTTAACATTATGCATATAATGTTTTTTTAAATGTCTGTTAACACTACTCTGATAAGAAAAAATCTTGGGACACATTTTACGAGCTATCGCATCATAAAATGTATTGAGTTATTTCATAAACGAAAAAGATTTAAAGAAAAAAAATTAGATAAAACAAAACAAATAACTTCGAAAAATGTCAAGGATTTTTCTATTGTAAAATTGTATTTATTAGCGCACCACTGAGATAACCCCGCAATATTTTGTTTCTCGAGAATATAGAGAGCTTTAAATTTGTGCAACGGTACAGAGATATTTAAGGAAAAAAGGGTGGGAAATCCTCCCGTTTAAAAACTACTAGATATTTATTAAAACAAAATGCAGCAAATGTTCATAGGTTTAATACAGAATGGCGCGCAAATGTTTTTTTTTTAATTATTTTTAAACATTTTCAAAATAAATATTTTTCGAAGGAGGTTTACAAAATAGTCAAGGTTTCTACACCCTGTTTTGTTATTTTTGGTATTTCCTGAAAATTTCACAAAAATCGAACTGAAAATAAACGCTCAGAAACAATTATAAATTTTCAAGGTGTTCGGTTTGCTCCTAAGCGACATTCAAGAACAAAAAATGCAAATTAAAGTGAGGTTAGGTTCACAAAGACAAATTACGTATATATCATTAAGTTTTAAAGCGGTCTCTATATTTTTGTTTTTACATTGTAGGTACCTTAAATTTTAATATTGGAATTTACCTCCTAGAAAAATAATCAACTAATTAAGTATGATACAATTATGTATTTTACACATTCTTTTGCATAATTTTTATAATGAAATAAATTCTTTTTCATTAAAAGCTCTTAAATTTTCCCACTGTTAACTACTTTCTCTTCCTTAAATTTGAAAAAAAAAAATTCATATCTCGGCATATGTACTAATACAGTAGTGACAGTTCATTGTTTATGAAGTGCCCATATTTTTCTAAGCATATCGGTAAATAAGCGACAAATACGTCAAACTGACATTTTCAATCGATTAATGGTAGTTGATTGTTTTGAGTGCATATTTTAAGACATTTTTATTATTTATTTTTTATACTTATGTTTATTCATTTATTGTGTGATATTTTTGTCAAATAGACGAGGTTATTTGTAGTTACTTTTCTCGGTGTAGAAATAAGTCTATGAAAATCTGACCACTCAAATGGGACAACCCGTGTTCTGTGGACAACCCAAGCTGTCAATACTGTATTATTAGTCATGCTGGGTTAATATGAATTAAAATACCCGGTTATTCTACAAATAAAAAAATTACAACAATGTATATGTACGTCAGTAGAAAACGTGTTGTATAGTGCTTGAAATTACATTTTTGACTCCTTTTTGTGACCCCCAGCGACCGTTTTAAGAATTGAATTCTGCTTAAGTTCTTTTTATTGTTTCTTTATGTAATCTAATCTAAACAATAGAAGCTCAAATCCTTATAACTACTACAATTAACTGCTTATCTATCTTAAAATACTTTGTATCCACCTTTTTAAACCTCTTTTATCATTTTTCTAAAACACGACTAATATACTACCATACTAGCTTGTTATCACAATAAAACAATCACACATTATGTAAGATTCGTAGAAAAAACCCGGGATACAATATGTATAAATAATATTTTTGCAGGCATGATGAATATATCTCAAATGGCAAATCGGCCTATGATTCTTATTGGGGGCTAGCTAGAGATATAATTAAAAAAAAGGTAGAGTAGCCCTGACATTTGTGCACTTATCAGATGTCCGAAAACGACCTTGAATAAACTGAATCAATTGAAACGTTTTTATGTAGTTTAAATTGCCAGGTTCTTAATAACGTAATCGTTTTAAGACGTTATTAGTTGTACACATTTTTTTCATTGTTTTTGGGCTATTAAAACTAAGTGAGAGAGAGATATTCGGCTGTACAGTAATTTGTTAAAATAAATGCATGAGTTTAGTAAATGTTTTTAAATTTGTGAGGACTGCAGTGTTAGAAAATTTGGGTCAGTGTCTTTTTTATAATCTTATAATCTCCATTTTTTTTTATTAACGGCATATAAAAGCGTAATTTATTTATTTAAAAATGGATTGCGAACCTTGACTTTAAACGTGTTCAATTTTGTTTCAATTTATTTAAGTTCAGATGTCTGATAAACATCATATTGTGAAGTTCAAGTAGTTTTTCTGTTATCATTTGCACTCATTAGTGTTACTAAAAATCACTAATTGGTATTTTACGGTTTTCGAATGTTTGGTATAATGTTTAATAAAAATTAATTTATCTTTTTTTATAAATAAAAAATATAATTATGATGAAAAATTAGAAGGTATTTGTGTTTATTTCACGTTATGGTTCCTGTCATTAACAAATCCTGAAGTTTCTCGTTTAGAATCAAATCCATCAAAAAAAAAAACAGTATTTTCCAATTTTTACATAAGTGCCATTTTTTCTAATGGCAGCAAGTGTCAAAATGATCAACATTATGTAACTGGTTACGAAAAATTCATTGTCACCAGTTACGTAAAGAAAACAAATAAAAATAAACCTTTTTTTGGTTTTAAAATCAATATATTATGCATTATTATTGAAAATTTATATCAAAGAGGACAGGTTGACTTATAAAAATAGAATTTGTTTAAACTTACAACCTAGTAATAATATTGTTTTGGTCCTTATTGTCCATTATAAATCAGCACAAAATAATTAAAACACAATACACGACAAAATAACAAAAGTTTCTTGAATTTTCTATCTGAATTTTCCATTTGTCAATGAAATTAATGAAGTTACGCATATGAAACTAAAAATACAAGAAAGTAATATTGGTTGCCTAGATATCAGTAATTTCTTACAGTTTTATAAATAATCTAGTCAAAATTAGAAAAGATATTGTATGTTGCTCTACTAGTCCTGAAAATATTCACTCGTTACATAAAATAAATCATTTCGTAACTGGTTGCATAAATAGGTATTTCGTTAATTTGTTGACTTTCCTTCAATTTTAAGTCAAAAATAGTTATGTACTAAATTACATCTCGTTTAATTCTACATGTTGACGTTGGCGATTTTTTCTGTTGATCGACGGTTATACATGTCAAATTTGACATATTTGCATAAAAATACAATAATTTAGGTTTTTATCTCAAAATGTTGATTGGTCTATTAATTGGCAGATAGATTTTTGTATTGTGATAAAAATAAAATTTGCATCAAGTTTGATATATTTTTTTCAACATATCTATTTTTTCAGCAGATGAGTAGATTTTAGACAGCAAAAAATTATTAGGTTAAGAAAACGCAAAAAAAACAAAGTAATCATAATTCTTTCAAATTTGGTGGGTCTTTAGAAAACCGTAATAGATATATTTTTCATTTCAACATTTTTAAAAATTTGAAAATATGACGAATTGACAGGTATAACTGTAAACTAAATAACAAAAATTCCAATAATATTCAGTTTCTTTTCAAATTAATAAATTCAGCTGTAACCATCAAAACATCGCCAACGACATATTTGACAGAACTGACAATTAAGTTGTCATAAAAATCAATAAAAATGTAATTTTCATTAAAGGGTTGTATGTACCGAAGCTGCTTACCTACTGATTTGCCATGACCATTGGTTATACCCACATACTTTGATTACTATACGGGGCAAGAGAGAGGTCCGACACGCCCAACATAGGGCGCGGCCATTTTGATTCCTATGACACAGTTTATAGCTAAAGAATCAGATCGCTCACTCTGCATCGGCACTTTTGATCTCAATGTTCCAGTTTATACACTGCGCAACTCGGATAATACAATTTATGACAACCGCCTAAAATAAAACAGCAGTCTTCTGCGTATCCTGAATTTGTATCCCTGAAGTGGATGTTATTTTGGAACTTTCAACTGGTCCGAGTGAGCTAACTGATTCTTTAGCAATAAACTGTGACTCCAAAAATAATATTCACTGACACTGACAGCGGCAAGCAAAATATCAGGTGCGTTTTAATCATCCGCTTCTGCTTCCGGAATTATCGGTTTAGTCGTTTTAACCTGTCAGATTAAAACAAGAAAACCGACAATTCCGAAGCAGAAGCGGATGATTAAAACGCACCTATTAAAAATATTGCGCCAAGATGTAGGCAACACGTAATAAGGGTTCAAAATGGCGGAGTTTTCTATCTCCTTTTAAAATGCACTCAGAAAGCTGCGCAGTGCGACCATTCTCCGTATAGTAAAAGAAAATCAAAGTATGTGGTATTAGCGTAGCAGTGAAGCAGTTGACATATAACACATTTGACGACGGTAAACACGGCCATTCAATCACATTCATGTTGGTTGTTTTAATTATTTTTAAACCTAAATAAACTATAAACAAATTAAACAGAACTAGTATTAACCCTTGACCAATCAAAATATAAAATCTATATATTATACGAGGCAAAGACAAAATAGTTCAGTACCATATTTTCTCTTCTGTTTGTGAACCGATTTTTTTCTTTTAATTTCTGTATAGTAGCTATTGACGAGCTTTAGTGTTATCAATAATTTTTTGTTCCCAACCTTCGATTAATCCACAATTATGAATTATGATTGACTGATAAAATTAGCCTGTAGCCAACATAAGCCACCTTTAATTTCGAATATGCACAAAGTGTCCCATTTTGGGTACTTTTGCGGGGTATCTTTGTTATTTTTAAAGTTAGAGGGTTGCGGTTTTCGCGACACTTTGCTACTTTTTCGTAAAACTAAAGTTGCATTTAACAAAATTTTCATATCCCTCTCAGTTTTTAAGATACAGGGCATTTTCGGAAATGTTTCATTTTGGCACTCCCTCGTATCTCCGTTATCCTTCAACTTATTGAAAAGGTAAAATAACGTTGTTATAGATTTTTTCCGTAGAATGCAGTGGTGTAGATAATTTTTGTAACATTTTTGTCAGACGGTCGTATAACGACAGCAAACGGCGTTAAAGTTGCGCATTAAAAAAACCTAAGTTTGCTTTATAACTCAAAAATCTATAAAAAATGTTATTTTACATTTTCGATAAGTTGAAGGATAAGAGAGATCTCAAAATGCAGCAATTTAAAAAATGCCCTGTATCTTAAAAACTAAAAGGGCTATGAACATTTTTTAACGGCATATTTAGTTTTACGAAAAAGTCGCGAAAAACGGAACCCTCTATCTTTATAAAAATAATGGAGATACCCCGAAAAAGTACCCAAAATGGGACACCCCGTAGAATATTATATGGACGGATAGGAGATCATGAAAAACAAAAAAATACTTCTCTCACTCTTCGAACTTCCCCCTCCTATTTATCTGCCACGCCTTAATGGCAATGGATAGAAAAAAATTAACAGCAGATTGGACTATGAAGAGAAAACAATTTCGCCCCCTCCCCACCCTCAAAGGACAAGTTACCTCCCTTACTGTTGGGGGGATTTGCCCTCTGCCCTTTCTAAGTGTAGATAGGGATGACTTTTTTTCATAAGTCGGATATTTTGAGATATTGGTTGTATAGATACTTAAAAAATTAGAAAAATTCGAAGAGTAGGCTGACCTTCCCCCATCCCAATTTTTTTTATATATTTTCTGGGCTGTTAATGATTAGGCTGAGGTCGGATATAGTAGAGCGATGAAGGTTGCCTCCACTCAATTTCCCCCTCTTTTAGGAGCCTCAAGTGTAACCTAAAAATAAAAATTGTGTTTCATATATCAATAAATGAGGGTTTTTAAATTGTGAGTTACTGTCTTTTTATTGAATTTATTTTTTATTTAATTATAATGGTACTGTACTGTTGTATTGTAAATATATATAAAAGTTTATGGTCTCAGATATACAATGGACGCAAAGGAATAAAAAAATGTTACAAACATGCAAATGCATATATATTTTCTTCAAATTTCTAATAATGATTATTGTCGAATTTCGACCACTGGGCAAACACTAGTATAAATAATTATACAAGTCGAATTAGTTTTTTAAAAAAACCTTCATTTGCCCATTTAATTAGGAATTTAGAAGAAAATTGGTATAAAAAAACTAGTATTAGTTATTCGCGCTCAAAACCGGCCAATACACGTTGTTACAAAGTTGCCAAATGTATCCAAAATGCAAAATAGTTTCAGTGGTTAGTTTTTTGTCATCGGCATCAATTGCTATGACATTTCTCAGCGCCACTTTAGGAACAGCACTGTTAATTAGAACCCATCCGCGAATAGTAGAGTGGGGAATCATACCTATGCATTAGAATTAGTTATTGTATTTTTAATCTAATAATTCTCCTGTCTTATTCGCATTGCAGACGTCTTTAATTTCAGTTTCAAACTAACATATATGAAGTTTCTGACACTTGAATTATTAGGGATCATAATGATGTTTCAAATGTTTTATATGTGCAGGGTACCACCTAAATGCAATTAGGGCTTTAGGTTTGCAACACCATCATAATTTGATCTAACCATTTCTTAAAAATTAACTACTAGTTACGCAACATGTTACGTTTGCGTTATTTTACGGGTTTGACAGGAAGAAACTTGAGAATTTGTTAATGACATTCCCTAAAAAACTATTTGAAAAAAAAAATGTTATTATTTTGACATTATTCCAAACTTTTACTCGTATTGCGTTTCTTAACCTTATTTACCTCATTTTCATCATTTATATCTAGAATCCAATGCCATAGAGGTACTAAAAACTAAAAAAAACACTCTGTTACAGAAAACACGTCCAATATATCAAGCCATTTTAAGATGCATCTCAACGCCAGTCTTTCAAAAAATCTTTCTCATCTTTTTTCGAAAACAACATCACTCCAAATCGTTAGGAACTACTCATCGCATCATAATGCGGAAAAACTCACCCACGTCAACAGAGAAGGCAAAGCTCACATGGTAGATGTCGCTGATAAAACCGTAACTCATCGCAAAGCCACTGCAATGGCTGTTGTGAAAGTGGGTCCTCAGATCACCAAACTAATTCTAGAAAACCAAATTAAGAAAGGCGATGTATTAACCATCGCTGAAATAGCTGGAATAACTGGCGCCAAAAAGACATCCGAAATCATACCTCTGTGCCATAACATCGGTCTTTCCAGTGTCAAAGTGACGGCTCATCTAAACAGACAGAAAGAGACAGTGGAAATCCAAGCCAGCGTACACTGCGAGGGGAAAACTGGGGTAGAAATGGAGGCAATGACAGCTGTCAGCGTCGCCGCTTTAACCATTTATGACATGTGCAAAGCTGTAAGCAAGAGCATCGTCATTTCAGACGTGCATTTGTTGAGTAAGAGCGGTGGTAAGAGCGGGGATTACGGTACGGAGGAGGAAATCAAATTGAGGGATTACAACAGGATGCCCACCACTGGGACTTTCAAACCAACTATTGGAATCGTTTAGGAACGTTTAAAGCTTAGTCGAAACGGTTAAGTTTATGCTTGATAAACGAAAGATCTGAAATCCGTTTTATATTTTTTATCGTTAATTTTTTACCGTATTTAGATGATCTGTTTTTAAATTAAATTTATAAAAATTCGATAAAAATGTAATGCATTTACTTTTATTCGAAAGAGGGGTGTCTGTTCATGCAAATCTGGAACGGTTAAAGTAAGTGTATGACAGTGATCAATATCCTGTAACCTTATGTCATGTATTACAGTTTTTTGTGTAAAATTGATTACAAAATGTTGCTATACACCGTTTTTTTACTAGGAGCAGCGATTTGAATTTTCGCGCCCAAAATTATTTGACAGATTTACTTCCTTTTGATGTTATTGCGGCGTTGCCGACACACTTCGTCAGATAATTTTGGACTCTCTGCAATAATTAATAATTCCTACTTTTTTTCGATACATATGATTAAACCAGTAAGCCTTTATCATTCTCTCAATAAAAAAATAATAATTATAATAATCTTTGAGTACAAATAAAAAATAGAACTGCCCGTTAAAGGTTTTAACAAGAAATATTGCACTAAACTGAATTCATGCTAATTTGCACAAGAAATTTAGCTAAATGATTATAAAAATCTTATGAAGAAATATAAAAATAGCAAATTAACAAAAGTACCTACCACACGAGACATTACGGAAATTAGTAAGTACTGATGGTTGTTTGAATCAAGATAGACATATTAGTATAATATAAAAATAGTAAATTACATTACCAGTGTGGAGAATCACTTTTCACACAAGTGATGTACAATATTTTTCCTACGACCACAAAATAATTTCATAAAAAAATGTAAAACCAGGTTATTATTATAATAATTAAAATGTATTTAAAAAAATAATCAACAATAATCGTATTTATTCAATTTTCATATTCTCTAAAAACAACGAAAAAAAAAAAAATCTGTCCCCGCAAGGATTTGAACTCGGTCGCTCGCCAGGTCTCACATGGCAAAAATGGCAAAGTTGATACTCTACCATCTGAGCTAATAGGCCTTGCGTCAATTGAATTATCTAATCGGTTATGTGTTTAACCAGCATAAAAGGCAAACAGAACTTAGTTATTTTAAAATTATTTTAATAATAATTGTTAAAGATAAATATCTAGGATCTAATTTACAACAATTTCAATAATTTAACAATCATATCCATTTTAGTATTAATATGGACATTACATAGATCAAAATAGAAATGATGCGTTTGACATTTTGTGACAGCTGATGCGGAAAGTAGCATATTTGCACACGGGTGGAAAGTAAATTCTTATTCATACGCGTGTGATATAGGGTACTTCCATAGGACTATATAGGGTGATATGTGTCACTTTCCTAAGTGGTCGTAGGAAAATAATTTTTTTCAATACATTTAATCTAAATTATCATTATTTTAAATTAATTATTTATCATTACTAACTTTAAGTGAAATGTTCAGAATTGAAATTTATATTTTGATTTCAGTTGTAAGGAAATTGTTGGAATAAAATTATTTTTGCAAATTTTGTTTAGATACCTATTTCTGTTAAACGTTTATTGGTATTTCTATTTTAAACATTTAAATTATACCTTGTGACACAGTAAAGAAATGCAAATAACGATAGCAGCGTACAATAATTAGAATATGTAGTAGGTATTAAATAAAATAATAAATAAATGGTTCTATATTGTTCACTGTCCACAAATTCTCTTCACAAAATAAATAAAAATGTCTAATACCCCTCCCAAACGAGCCGTTATAGGATACTATATTTTTATTGGATAAAATCGACATAAAACTAGCTTTAGTAATTTCAGTTATGCGAAGAGAGTTTGTGAATACAATATATATTTTCCACGCTGTATAAAAATTAATGTTTTCTAGTCTTATAGCCTATTTCGCAAACCATCTTCAAATTTACCCACATGTAAATTCTTAACGATAGAACATTGTTCTAATGAATGATCAATAGAGTTGGGCGATATTTCAGATATTGTTACTTAATTATTTTAAACTTGGCAAAACTGCAACATTTTTTACATGTTTCTCTATTTCATAAATGTTTTTCAGTAAAATAATTAATATTTTACTAATCATAGTAACGATTCAACCATCGTCTACATTTTTCTGAATTGACGTTTCTATGTCTAAAGATTTACATGTAGGTAACTATTTAAAAATGCTTTGTGAATGCAAAACGGTAGATATTTGAGTTTGTAGAATGAGCTTAGAATCAAAAAAGTAAAAAGAAAGGTATTGAAGCTTTTATGGTTAAGGGGCTATAATATAATAAATATATTTACATTTGGAGAGGTTATTTTAAAAGACTTGATATAAATTGCAACTTTAATGTTATAAGATTTTTTTGTTATATTTTACAATCCGTTATAAAATTAAAAACATATAAAAGACAATGTTCAAATTGCTCAGGCATTTCTAATTTGATTATGAATGTTGAATTTTGTATATATTATTAATAAAAACCTTTTTAAAAATGTTATATATTTTTGTAACCAGTATATTGAAAAATAAACTATTTTAATTGAACTAATCTTTGTTTTATTTCTTCTGGCGTCTGAATAGCTGTCAAATGTGCATAGAAGAATACGTTTCACCGGTTCAAATAATTAGTCCTTTATTTATAAAATATTTTAATTTTTGTAAAATACTTGCTGTAAAATACAGTTTTATTTTCGGTGTTTTATCCCCAAATAATTTAACAAATAACGTTCCGGAAATCCGACTGCAATCGTAAAAAAATCAGAAAAACAAAATCTGAAATTAAAAAAATCTTAAACTTGAAAGAGTTTAAATAAAAATTAAAAATAAAGAGATATTTCGAATTAATCCCAAATTCAAAAACAAAACAAAGTTGCAAAACATTAAAATACGAAAAAAATCCGCTTGAATAAAAAAAAACTGAATTATTTTTATTTTATATTATTCCTTATTTTTATTTTTTGATCTGAATTTTTTTGGTCCCTCCCCCCCCCCCCCCCCCTCAGAAAATGTAGGCTAAATACGGCCTTGCCTTTAAACCTTATGCACGCACCGATCACTGAACTATAGGATCTTTCGTTCGCTGTTGGTGCAGTGTCCCCCTGTTTTTTTGCAAGTAGTTTTTCAGGGAAGACCAAATTAAATTCACACAAAACTATAGACGTACATTTCCATTACCGATTTAGCAAGCCAGCCAAAACTGTTACATAATGTTTTGTATTAACAAGGAGGTAACATGATCCAACATAACGTAAACTCAACTAGGAAAAGATAATGGTTATGACATCGACGATGACCTATCCCGATGGGTCAATTTGGGTTGAAACTTCCAGGATGGGAATCTTAGAAGCAAACCCAAATAAATTATGTTTTACCCAAGCTGAAATGATATGTAAATACTGTATATACAGGGTGTTAAAAAAAAGTGTCACAAAATGAAATGGTGAATAGTATGACCCAAAATAAGCAGAAAAGTCTTAATAAATATATGACCGCAAATTAACGGTTTCGGAGATACGGACCATTTTGTGTTTATAACAATTTTTTATTATTATAAAAAAACAATGATATTTATAAACAATCAATAACAACATAAAGTTAAATGAGATGTTCAAATACTGACGTAGCGCTTCCCTCGCATTGCCATTTGCACGACCGTACATAAAATGCGTGTCAGCTAATTCAATATTAGTGTAAACAGGCATAACGAAAATTTATAAAATTATTCACCCACAACAAAATAATAACTGCAAATAGTATCTATGAAAAAACATGGGTAGACTCCGATAAGAAAAGCAAGTTTTTGAGAATGAAAAAAGATAATCAAAAAATGATACAAAACACTCCGTATCTCTGAAACCATTCATTTGCGGACATATGTTTATTAAGACTTTTCTGCATATTTTGGCCCATACTACCCCCCGTTTTATTTTGTGACACTTTTTTTTAACACCCTGTATAAATAAAGATTTTAAACTGAACTGGTGCAGTGTCCACCAGTGTAAATTAAACCATTAACACCACCTTTATTTACCTAGTTTACTTCCTCCTTAGTGCTGACACACATATCGAGTGCAATTCACTCTTGCTAAATAGCTGGTGGAGAAAATATCCACCAGCTACCCTATTCTCAAACTCGGAAGAGTGCTCATACACCATCACCAGTGTTGCCAGATGACCAAATTCAAATTGTACAATGGTGTAGATTATTATTGTTTTTTTTTTCATGATTTTATCGAACAAACTGACCTTACTAGTATGACGTTATCGAAGGCTGGTTAATTTAAGAGTTGTTAGGGTTGGGGTAATTTGATAATAATTTTATTGAATAAACATAAAAAACTACACTTAACCTTTTCTTGTTTCAAAAATAATTTTTTCTTGTAATCCTTTCTGATTTTGATCTTCCAATTGTTTTTGTCCATACGTTTTTAAAGATGTTGTGAATTTCATTTCATCTGTAGGTGTGAAATTTACGAACGGTTAAATTTTCTAAAACTTTGGTATGTTATTGTACCTAGTAACCAAAAGTATCAATAGGCTCAACTCAATCCTGTGGCTGATTTTCGATATAGTTACAAGTTGAAAATTGCTTAGATTATCGAAATTTTTATTTTCAAAATTACGAGCTATTGCATATATACACACACGTTTATGATATGTTTTATTATTACATTGGTACATATAAGTATACAATTAAAAATATTCTCAGTTACAGTGTGATTCACAATGTATGAATAATGTCGTCAGGGAAGCATATTTTAAAAAAATAAAAGATACAATAAACATTTTTTATACAGGGTGTTTTATAGAGAGAACCACAAAATAAAATTATTTTTTTCAAGGAATAATTCATAACCCTGTAGAAATATTAATTGATTTTTGGGAAAGGTAATATCACTTAAATATGTGTACCTCTAAGCTTCAATATATATATAAGGTGATTTATTTTGTTCGAAGATATTCCATTTTAAGAAAAGTACAAAAGCTACTAAAATTTCCCCGGTAAAATGTAATCATTTTTTTAGTATATAGGTCTTTTGTACCACCTTTATATGAGATGTGAGTTTTAAATTCGAGATACAGGGCGTTAAAGTGGAGAATTGCTGATTTTAGTTATTTTTTCGTCAGATATCCATTAAAAGAGACAGTTCAAAATATTTGCATGTCTATAAATTACATATCATGGATATAAAATAGATATCTACCATGGACTGGACATTCAGTGGATATTGGGTTGTGCAGTAGATATCCAAAGGATTTGGTGTGCTGCCTGGGTTTCTAGTTTCATAAAAAAATTAATTGCTTGGCAAACCCGTAATATATAAAAAAAATTTAGGAATAAATACAGTATTACCAAAGCATTCTGAAATAAATAAAATACAGGGTGTTTTAAAAAATATACTTTTAATTTTACAGACAAAAACGCAACACCCTGAATATCCAAAATTATTATTAAAATACGTAATTTTAAATCCATATAACTTTTATTTGAAACTTGTTTGCGTGTAAATAACACAAATTGAATTATTGAACAATTATGCATTAATGGGATACCCTGTATATAAACCTTTGATTTTTGTTGTCAAGTTTAGATAACCCGTTATACTTTTCAGTGTATGAAGTATTGCCTGACTAAATAGGGAGTGAATAATTTACATTTTGCTTGGAATCTCATAACCTTGAAAGGTCACATTTACAAAACTGTTTCTATACAAAAAAAAGTGCAATAAGATAAATTGTAAATTCAAAAATAATTACTTTTATTAAAAAATCGTAATAAATATGATGTTCTGTTATTTAGGGCTCGATAACTTAATAAATGTAAGTTCAAAACACGGGAGAATAAAAGATTAGTCATTGTTTATTTGGATGTTTTCATTTAATTTTTTATCATTTTCTCTTTTTATTTATCAAAACAATATAGACAGAGATGTGATATGTACATATGTAATAATTATTGAAAACGTTTTCAATCACAATAATACAAAAATAATAACATGCAAAAATTGAGTTTGCACACCTCCATTAATTGATGGAATTAGAATAATTGAATTGTCAAATATAGACACGCCTACTTTCAACTAAAGCAATGTTGTTTTCTTGTGAGATGCGTTTAGATTTTGCCATATTTCGCAATTTATAAATGAGAGCGATGATGTCGTAAATTAAAGGTAAGTGAATTTGTTATAAAGAGTAATTAATGTCATTTTATTGGAAACGGCGGTTTTTCTTTCAAGTATTTCTAAATTTATGTCACAAGGGCAAGAAATATAACAATTTAGGAAATCAACCAATCCAATCGTGTTTATCATTAAATTAAGAGAGGGGATTGGTGGGGAACAGCTGACAACCCAAACATTTTAGACATCTTTGATTAAATTTTTGTGCTGCTGGTTAATGAGACTTTAAAATGAACTATGACAGAAACGTAATGAGTGGGTGTTTTATTTAAATTTATTGTTTTTAAAGGTTCAGTTTTAAGTAAATATCCTTTCTTACTACCTTTTTATTTCGGTGTTATTTTAAAAGTGACGTCATGTGATTGCGCTTTCATGGAGTACCATTTATTTAAGGTAAATTCTTTGATTTTCTCTTTATGACATACTAATTTTTTAGCGATGTTGAATAGGATTCTAGATTGATGGTTTAGAAATTGAATTTAAGTAATGATAAATCTGGAAGTCGCGATTTTCAGTAAATATTTGCTGTTTTATAAAATGGTTTATAGCAGATTCGTCCTTGAACGAATTTTTGTGTTTAAAATTATACATTTTCAATTATAAATATTATCCTCATTAGGTTCTCTGTATTCATATCCGTAGGGTATATTAAATAAATGGGTTTTGATATATTTGTAATTGATTCGAATCGATATAAACATCTGTTTGGAATTTTCTTGAGAAAGTTAGAACAAGTAGGACACTTAATTCATTTCCCAATCTGTATAAACATTTATGCTTTTCTTTACCGTTTGACATTGAAACTGATCAATTATTCAAATTATGTATTAAACAAGGTTTTAAAGCAGTCGCCATTACAATTTTCATTTAAACATTTAATTTTAATCATTGTTTTTCAAAATGTTTACAATTGGCTCTTATAAATAAGTAGGTGGGATGTGATAAAAACAAAAGCAGAAAATATTTATCACTATATTACTTTATGATAGCTAATTGTAGGTATATTGTTTTAGTAATAATAATAATTAATTATATTCCATTCTGGTCACCTTGAATGTTTACATGGACACCAAGAAATATACAATTTTTACTTGTACATTTATTTTGGGTCTGATTCACCTAACTATTTTAATAATAAGTTAATACATCCACTCTTATCTAAAAATAGCATTCTTGAATATGATAGGTTTTGTTTATACTTTGGCTCTGGTTTATGTGTAATTAAATTATATATGGACACTTTTGAATGCACATTCCCATTTTTTGTGTTAATTCATGTTATCTAACAGCTAATCAAAATGCTGGAATATTCCTGTTTTGTTAAGATAGCTAAACCTGTTATGTATTGTGAATTATGGTAGGTACATATAATATATAAAAGGTGTTACTGTTACTGAACCAGTTTTAGATTGTTTATCTCAATTTTTAAGTTAATCATTTTGTTTTCAAATACAATGACTACTTACAGGATTTTTCAGATTAAAGTACAAAAACTGTTATACAGGGGCGGGTTGATAATTTCGTGGTTTCTTATATTTTTTTATTTTTTAAGGTACTTTCATTTTTGGCTTTACCTAGGTAGGTATTTACTTCATACACTGTTTTAAGAATATAAATAAAATTACCCAACAAAAATTTTGGTCTGGGGAAATAATGGCCCAATTATAATGGCCTTTTATCTTTTACCTACACAGGACCGGTATATACAAGGTGTTCCCCATAAGTACTGACACAGAACAGGTGTGTGTTGGGCACCTCAAAATATGATAATTTAATGCATTTTACCTTTACAATACAATATCTTTATTTACCTGAGAAAATATTACATTTTATGGCTCGTCAAATTACAATTAAAACAAAATATATATATATAATAAAACTTACCTAATAAATATAAAAATATAAAATTGAAATTTACAAACATTTACGACATAGTTCACTGAATCACTCAGATGCCACAGTGACAGCCTCCATCCTCCATCTGTATTGATTTAAATTCCTCTAAGCTATATAGACAATTATTGGATAACATTTGTTTTAATGCATGTTTAAATTTATCTATAGGCTGATTTCTAAAATTAAGTGGTAGTATATTGTATAACTCAATATAATATTTCTTTGGCCTTTCCAGTCTATACTGGATAGGGACTAAGTTATCTTTGTGCCTTGTATTATAGTTATGGATATCTGAGTGGGAAAAAAATGTGTTAATATTAATTCTTACGAATAGAAGATTTTGATAAATTATTACTGCATAGAGTGTCATAATTTTAAGTTCTGGGAATACTGGTCTACAACTGGCTTGCCAAGAAGCACGTGTTATGGCTCTTATGGCTGATTTTTGCAAAATCAAGACTTGAGATATGTGTGTCAGCAACATTGCCCCAACATATTGTCCCATATGTCAAATGACTATGAAATAGAGCATCTTGATCACATATTTGGTGTATTTTCCTGATAGCAAAAACTGCTCATGATAATTTGGAACAAAGTGCTTCAATATGATCTGCCATCTGAGATGTGGATCAATTTGAATGCCAAGTGTTTTAACAGAATTGTTATTAACTTGTTCACTATTTACTGTAAATAATTGGGAGATAGTTTTTGTGTCATTTAAAAACAGGTCGTTTACAGAAAACCACCTCTTTGCCTGAATCATAACATCAGAGTAAAGTTGATCATGATCTGTTTCTCTTTTAGTATTAATACAAAAAGAAGTATCAGAAAATATACATGTGATAAGGTTTTCAAAATGCATATGGTCAGGAAGATCATTAATGTATATCAAAAAGAGTAATGAACCTAAAATTGAGCCCTGAGGGACACCTCTCCTGATATGCATCAATGAACTTTTGCAATTTTCGATGATGACTGTTTGACATCTGTCAGTTAAATAAGATTCAAAAAGCTGTAAACAAATCCCTCGTACTCCATACCTCTCCAGTTTTGATAACAGAATTGAATGATCCACACAGTCAAAAGCAGAGCTTAGATCTGTAAATACACCTAAACAAATTTCAGCTTTTTCCAAACAATTTTCTATATATATTGTACTAGAGATCTATTGTAGATCGCACCCTTCTAAAACCATACTGGAATGGCGTGAGTATGTTGGAAGAATTTAAATATGATATTAGATTATTATACATAATTTTTTCCAAGATTTTGGAGAATATGCGAAGTGCAACAATTTTTCTGAAGTTGCAAGGCTGAGAAGGGTCTCCTTTTTTAAATAGAGGACAGACCTTAGCAATTTTCATGCTATCAGGAAATATTCCTTCAGTTAGACAAGCATTTATAATTATAGTTAAAGGTTTAGACAAAAAAGAAATACATTTTTTCATTATAAATACATTAAATCCATCAATATCCTCTGTTCTTTTATTTTTTAAATCTTTTACAATTGATTCTATACCGGTTTGGATAACTGGCTGAAAAAACATTAAATTTTTTAATTGTGGTATATTTATAAAGGAAGTAGCAGGTATATCTGGTTTCTCTAGATTCTGAATTATGCTTTAGTCCAATGAAATAGACCATTAAATCAAAATTTTGGAGGAAATACAGGAATTTTTGATATAAGTCACTTAAGAGTATTTGAAAACGACATGTAAAATATTTTGCTTTTCAGGCAAGGGCAAATGTCAAAAAACAAGAAAATAAAGTGTTTTTTTTAAGGTTATTTAAAAACGGTAGGTGCTATAGAAAAGTTCTTAACAAAAATTGTAAAGCATAAAGTTTTACATAAAAATGATATTTGACATTTTTTGCTATTATTAAAACTGACAGAGTTAGGGTAGTTAGAAATTAAGAGGAGATATTATATGACTTGAAAAAATCATAGCGAGCTGAAAATTCAATGACTTTGTAGTTTCTTTTCATTATTTACTCAGAAAATTTCTTTTAGGAAAAATTATTTTTTTTTTAAGTTATAACAATTTTAATTTAGAAATTTTCAATATATTATACGAATTTATATGGTAAAATAAATTTTGAAGTAAACTTAGATTGACTGACATGAAAAATATGAGTGAACTAATAGAAACGACATTTCGACAGTTTGGTCCCCACTTGAAGTTCCATTAAATAAATAAAAATAAAAACAAGAAAAAATAACTAAATAAAAATATTAAAAAAAATAAAAATAAAAAAGATAATAAAAAAGGGGGTGGGTTGGCTCAGTGGTTAGAGTCATGACTTTGAGATCGGAAGGTCTCAGGATCGAATCCCACCGGTGTCAGGAATTTGTATGTAATTAAAAAAAATTAAATATGAATTCTAATGCATAGGTAGGATTCCCCACTCGACAATTAATTGTTGGTGGGTTCTAATTAATAGTGCTGTTCCTAAAGTGGCGCTGGGAAACAGTAACAAAGCCTACACATAACACGCGGCTAATGGCCGTAGTAGTCGACGCCGATGACACCAAATAAAAAAAAATAGATAATAAAAATTAATAAATAAAAATAGGCAAATTAAAAAAATATAAAAATAAATAAATAAAAATAATTTATTTTTATTTATTTTTATTTATTTTTATTTATTTTTATTTATTTTTATTTATTTTTAGTTATTTTTATTTACTTATTTTTATATATTTTTTTAATTTGCCTATTTTTATTTATTAATTTTTTATTATCTTTATTTTTTTTATTTTTATTTTTTTTAATATTTTTATTTAGTTCTTTTTTATTTATTTTTATTTTTATTTATTTAATGGAACTTCAAGTGGAGACCAAACTGTCGCGATGTCGTTTTAATTAGTTAATTCCTCATATTTTTCATGTCAGTCAAGCTAATAAGTTTATTTCAAAATTTATTTTACCATATAAATTCGTATAATATATTGAAAATTTCAAAATTTAAATTGTTATGACTTAAAAAAAAATCTGATGTGTCCAACACATGACTTTCCTATCTAGTTATTATACCTAAGCCTTTTCCGGTTATTTTGTTTTAATTATAGCAAAAAATTAAAATTGTTATAACTTAAAAAAAAAATAATTTTTCCTAAAAGAAATTTTCTGAGTAAATAATGAAAAGAAACTACAAAGTCATTGAATTTTCAGCTCGCTATGATTTTTTCAAGTCATATAATATCTCCTCTTAATTTCTAACTACCCTAACTCTGTCAGTTTTAATAATAGCAAAAAATGTCAAATATCATTTTTATGTAAAACTTTATGCTTTACAATTTTTATTAAGAACTTTTTTTTATAGCACCTACCGTTTTTAAATAACCTTAAAAAAACACTTTATTTTCTTGTTTTTTGACATTTGCCCTTGCCTGAAAAGCAAAATATTTTACATATCGTTTTCAAATACTCTTAAGGAGGTCCTTTCGCCACACCTCTCGCCTCAAATGTTAAAAAAAAAGTTATTAGATTATGACT